TTTTTTTTTTTTTCTTCTTATTTCTTTGTTGTTGTTTTTTTCTTTCATCTTTTTACCTTCTCCCCTCGTTCCTGTCATTCATCCCTGCTAACCCGGCTTCAAAAATGTGTGTCTATTTAAAAAAAATAAATAAAAAAAAATAAAAAAATTACACTCTCACACAAACACACACTGCGCTGCACTCCCTCGCTATCAAACCACTCCTCCCCCTCCCTCCATAACTCCTCCCCTCCTCCTTACTCCATTTGCTTCTCTCCTATGCTGCTTTGCTCTCCTCCTTCTCCTCCACCCTTCCTTTCTTCCTTCGTTGCTCCCTTCCCCTTCCTCCCTTCAGTCCTCCCATACTCACTCGCGTGACTATGCCAAGCCCTGGCTGGCACACAGTAAAACTCCAACGCCAACCAAGTGCCACTGCTGCCCAGATCTCGGTCACAGCCACACCACTCCTGGGCACGAGGTAACACACTCAACCCCACCCACCCACCCACCCAACCTCCCTGTCCCACCCCACTGAATGCGCTAATGCACTAACGCACACTCCTGGGGGCTCACACACCACCACATCTAAAGTTTTACTTTTGCTGCGGTCATGTGAAAACATTGAAACTCCAGTTTCACTGGTTTTAATGTTTGAGTTTGAGTTGAGAGNCCCACCTACCTCCCTGTCCCACCCCACTGAATGCGCTAATGCACTAACGCACACTCCTGGGGGCTCACACACCACCACATCTAAAGTTTTACTTTTGCTGCGGTCATGTGAAAACATTGAAACTCCAGTTTCACTGGTTTTAATGTTTGAGTTTGAGTTGAGAGATTGTTTCATCTGCTGAAGGTTGTGAACATATTCCAACCTTTGACTTGAGAAGAAACATGATGTGGTCGAGCTCAGACCGAGTAATCAATTTACTTTATAATTATATTAAATACACAGGGAAGGTTTGACTGGAAAGAAAGTGAATGTGGGAACATCTGAAAAGCTGTTTACGCACAGATCATATTGAGTTTAAGCTTTGAAAGATGTTCAGATTTCAATTTCTTCAGTTGTCTTATCACCTGATTATTGTAGAGCTGAAACAATTATTTGAGTAATCGATCATCATTAATTGACAGAAAATTCATCACCAACTACTTTGATAGTTGATTATTCATTATGGTCATTTTTTTCTAGCAGACATTACAAAAAATATTTATTGGTTGAAGTTTATTAATTGTGGGATTAGATGCTTTTATTTGTCTAATTTCATAATAAACTGAATTTGTTTGGGTTTTAAACTGTTAATCAGATAAATCAGGAAATATGAAGATGGAACCATGGAAATTGTAAATCAATAATGAAAATAATCATTGTTGCAGCATCAGTTCAATGCTCTACTCTTCTTAGGTTCTGTTATAAAGTAATTTAATCTAACACCGAATATTCACAAACACAGAATATTGAGAACTTGTAGATATTTGTGTTAAAATGTTTCTGTGTAGTTTTCATTTTTGTGTTTGTAGGTCTATTTCTTGTCCAGTGTCCATGTGACGTGCTGTTTATTTGTTTAGGAGTAATAGTGTGTCTGTAGTGTGATGCTCATGAGCTCAGCTCCACAGTGGTGTCACCCTCAGCTGATGTTTCCTGTGTTCTCCTGCAGGGCGCGGCATCAGGGTCCAAACTGAAGAGGCCGACCTTCCACTCGAGCCGAGGATCACTGACCGGAGAGAACGGAGGGACGACACACACCAGCAAACCAGGACGAAGTGGTGAGACAGCGGCCGTGTTTATACTGTCAAACGCTTTCATGTTGGTTCATATCGGTGGAAATGAAAATGTGTTTTCACCTTTTTAGCTAATTGTCCTAAAAAATGAAACAAGAGAAACAGCCATGCTAGCAGCTCTGCAAGGCTGCACCTAGCAGCCTTGCTAGCATCAGCATGCTAACATTTACTCATTAGCACTAGAAATAAATTACAGCTGAGGGTGATGTCATGAGCTTTGCAGGTATTTGTGCATAAACCATGATCATAAGTCCTGGGCAAATTAAAATTTTGACCCGATGATGGCAAATGAAGGAATCACCAAATTAATTACGAGTCATCCTCAGGAGGACATGAAGGTCTGCACCAGATCTTAAAATAATCCATCGAACAGTTGTCAAGACATTTCATTTAAAATCACAAATGTGAACCTCATGATGGCACTAGAAGATTTCAAGCTACAAAATTCAGTGCCAGTTCTTTGAGTAGATGTTCAGATATTTCACTGGTTCATGTGAAAACTGCTGGTGGCGTCGGATTAAAAGTTAAGGGTTCTTCAAAATCCGTAGGATTCGTCCTCTGGGGGCCATGAACGTAGTTATTTAGACATTTCAGTCTTGATCAAAATGGTGGATCGCCCCCCCCCCCAACATTACTTTATGACTTTACAGTGACTTAAAACCATTGTCACAAACTCATAAATGTTCTTGACAAAACAAAGACTTACCCTTCACATTTTTCGCACTTTTAAACTCTTTCCCTCTAAACTGTCTAAACTTTTCATCTCCCTGTCAGATCCAAAGCGAGGAGCCAGCGGTCCGACCAGCCGCGCCGGCAGCCGGGCGGGCAGCAGAGCCAGCAGTCGCCGCGGCAGCGATGCCTCAGACGCATCAGAGCTCCAGGACGCTCGCTCCGTCTGCTCCGACGCCTCAGATACCCCGAGACGACCCGGCAGCGGGGCCAAGCCCTCCAAGATCCCCACCATCTCCAAGAAGGCTCCCAGCCCAAAGACCCCGGGGTCGGCAAAGAAATAACAGCCACAGAAACTGGAGAAGAACGGTTACACCTCCCTGTTACAGAGGGTGGACTGCTATCATCGGCCATCTTGGGTGTACCAGCTCTTCAATCTGAACATCCATCCAATTTGTGCACTAGGACTCATGATTAATAGGGGAAAGAAGGAGGTGGATAAGACGAGCGAGTCTCCTTCTCACTCTTTCCCCGTCGGCTGAAAACATGCACAAGAGGAGAAAGGTTCTGGTCCCAGACCAGAGTCTGCGGGGGTGAAACCGACTTTTCCCCTTGAAGAAGCGACCCCAGTTTGCCTTCCAGTCTCCTGCTTCGTCTTTCAAAAGTTCCGCCCCAGCGTGGAACCAAACACCAACGGACTTGACGTGATGCTGCCTTACTTTGTGTACACACTTCTGTCCCGATCAGACAGAGCGACACACAAAAGTCTTTAAACTGCTTTATACCACACTGACACACAAACACACACATTTTAACTCAGAGGCGGGGAAGGGAGTGGGACACACCACCACCACCACAGCTACAAAAACAAAAAAAGCTCAGATGACATTCAGGAAAAAGAAAAGAATTGTGGGTAATTATTTTGGCTTGTGGGCCAGATGCCTCAACGATGAGTTAAAAAAGAAAATATGCAACGACTGCCATGTCGCTTCCTCTGGACTGGTTGGCAAGAAAAAGAGTCACCTCAGCAGATCTGCAGACGCAGACACCACGTGTGGAGAGCTCAGGAGGCGGGAAACGCTGCCCGACACACACACACACACACACACACACACACGCACACACACACCGGCTAACCTCAGACTCAGAGGATCGGTGGTGGTGGTGACAGTGGTGGTGGTGGTGCTGCTGCAGCTGAGGGCAAACACTCACACACACAAACACCGCAGAGCAGACTCCTCCTGACCGCTGGAACGTTAAGATCAGCCTCGTGTGCATTTCAGCGAGGGGCGGTGTGGTTCTGTCACATGCCGGCATAACAATCCGACACACAAAAATCACAAACTGGCAATAGAAAGGACTATTTTTATGGTGACACACAACTAACAGCACATTACTGACAATATACGACATGTGTAACCTAACCCGATGTTAATGCCCGTGTTCGCAGAGTTCCACAACCAGCATGCACTAATTGTCTCTTCCTCTGCAGTTCCACCTTAATGTCTACACTGCGTTGCCCTTAGCAACTCAGCAGCACACAAACACACTCACACACACGGTGGTGTGTATCATGTGTGTCTTTGTTAAAGGAAATAATAGAGGTCATTGACTTGAGTCACTGTATGCAAAATTTTAATTTGCGAATGTCATTTTTCTTCTCGTTGTTTTCTGGTTAATTTATAATCCAGTTGTACTTTTGTTATTTAGCTTGAAAGAAAAATCTATTTATTTTTCAGTTTCATGTCATATCACCGTTGGCGGAGAGTGATTTAGTATTATGGTTAAAGACATTGTGATTTTTGTACCAAGGAAATGTCCACTCCGCTCTTTGACATTATCTGTGTGTAAAGTGTGTTTCTACTTCATTGTAACATGACATTATTCACTAGGTCTCTGATTCTAGTGGCAGCCTTGTTTGTTTAAGTTTCTTCTTTTTGCTAATGACTATAATTCCCAGACCATGACCAAAGGGGTTTGCCCTTCATGTGTAGAGAGAACTACAAATATGAATGACAGGAGTCCTGGGCAGAGCGGACCAATGAGAGCGGGTTTCCTCCCTCATGTTCCTCCCCAGCGTCTCTTCTTCTAGGCTTTTTTTCAAATGTCCCGTCATTGATGGGGCCGAGTTGTCTCTGTGTTATCTCAGTGTAAGAGATGAAGTTTATGAAAACTAATGAAATGACAGTAAGAAAGAAGAAGACATCACATCTTAAGGTGATTTTTATTTATTTATTGTCTCTCTGAGGAGGGGGGGGGTTCAGGGCGAAGGAGACGAGTCCACCACCTTTTGATGCTGTGCTACTCTTAGTGTGATGATGACAATATGGAGGGAGGGGGGATGGGTGTTACTAGGAGTCAATTGTGTAAAAGTTAAAAAACTAAAATTATAAACTTTTTTGTTCTGTTTTTGTATTAAAAATATGCTTGCAGTAAAACTGTCTCTTGTCTTTGATGTATGTCAGTTTTTATTTCTACATTTACCTGCTGTTATTTTTATTTTTGATTCATTTTTCTTTAGCAGCAAAATTTGGATTAAGTTCATTGAATTCAAATGTTTTATTGTTTAGATGCAACTTTTTGTGTGTGTGTGTGTGTGTGTTTGTGTGTGTGTGTGTGTGTGTGTGTGTGTGTGTGTGTGTGTGTGTGTGTGTGTGTGTGTGTGAAGTTTTGCAGCGTTTTTCATTGATTATCTACAGAAGCGTAATGCATTTGCTTTCTCTGAATTTAAGAGATGATTATCTCGTCCATCATCTATCTCAGAGATATAATCTCGTTAATTCTGAAAAACAGAGCAGATGTTTTTTCTCAAGTGAAACGCTTCTGTAATTATCTCACATTGTTTGTGTTTTATTTCATGATTAGAATTACATGTTGATGTCTTGGCGTGAGTATGTATATATGTATGAGTCAGTATGATGTTTTTCGTAATCATACCGGTGAAGACCTGTGTTGATTTTCTTTATATATTTATGGATGTTTCGGTTTTTCTTTCCCTCCCCATGTTTATGATTTTCATTCATTTTGCATGCAGTGTAAACATTCTTGTATATGATCTCTTAGACGTAGGCTGAGTTTACATGCAATGAGCTAAATGGATGTCATTTTGTTTCCCTTCTCTTGTGCGTGCCTTCACACACGCACGTCTGACAACAGACCACAGGCTCAAAGGCAGCGACCGGACATTTCTAGGTAATTATCCTGTGAGAGATAAGGACACACCCGACTGGATCTTCACTCCATTGGACCGTGAGGAGGTACACGCATGAGGAGGAGGTGGCTGGAAGTCATTTTAATAATTAGAAATCTCTCATGTCTCTCTCTCCTCCTCTCCGTCTTTCTCTCTGAGTATTTGTCATTGTAGGTTTTTAATCACAGTCTCAGTTTATGTGTCTGTGAGACAGAGACGGAGGATTTGAAAATAACTTTGTCCTGTTTATTTGGTGGTTCCACCGGAGATGATGAGGTCTGAGTCCACCCTCTGCAGCTGTGTGTACACACACACACACACACTCACTCCTCTCATTTTCTGTCCACTCTCAATCCATCTACGCCCGTCCTCCCTGCAGTCCATCTGTCATCCCAGACCTCTCTCTCTGATGACAGTCCTCGCTCTGTTCCACCACTTCTGTCTCCCAGGAATTTCATTTTTCATTTTTGTTGGGTTCGTATGGTTTCAAGGGCACTCATTCCCTCTCTTTCTTTTCTGTCTCTCCTCCTCAGCTCACTCCCACTCTGTTCTTCCACCTCCTCCGCTTCAACCTCTCTCACTCCTCTCACCATTATCTCTCCAGACAAAACCCCCTAAAGTTGCAGATGTGCAGGGAAAAGAAAAACAAAATGGGCAGAGGGTTAATTCCTGGCATTTGGGACTCGCCCTTTCGGCCAGGACAGAATGAACCGCGGTCAGTTTGGTTTGGTCAGTGTTATTCATGCCTTTCAAAGTGACCACAAGTACCAGGCTGCTTTGAAGAAAAGAGTACACAAACACGAGCTGGCACAGGGCTGAGCCTCACTACTATATTTGAGTCACTTCTTCCCTCCAAATCCTTTTGGTTTAGACACACACATACACCGAGTGTGTTTGCATTAGGTCTGCTGCAGTGCAAGCTCGCTCAGCTAATGAATAGCTCAACGGGAAACGGTGTTACACAGTGAAACAGAAAACCTGCCACTTCAGAGTTCAAGAGCTGAAAGTTTTTTCCTACAGTGTTAGTTTGAGGCAGGCTCAGTTTGGAGTTCAAATTTGATGTTTTCCATTTTGTTGCCTCCAAACCTCAGTGATGTTTAGAGCTTTGGCAAAGGAATAAAAAAAATATTCATCCAAAGTGACAAATGTGCCGCAGTTACGGAGTCCCAAAACTGACAAAATGCAGTAAAAGGTTATGATGAAGTCAGAAAACTGAAAAAAAGTAAATTCATATTGTTAGTTAAGTACTGAAAACAGTGTAAAAAAAACAACAAAAACAAAACCCTCAATTTTTCTTTTTACCTTCATTCAGCTGATGGAAAAAAGAAAAAAGCTTATTTTTTTCCTGATTAAAATGAAGAAAAAAAGCGCCTGTTTAAATGGCATGCTAACGTTTACAAAGTTCCAAACAGCAAATCCTACGGAAGCTGTGAAAGGCCAAACTTGCAAATATTTTTTTATCCCGTTATTTCAAGATAACAAAGCCTGTTATCCCGAGATAATGAGATATCATCAGGGGGAAACGATTCTGATTGAAACCTCATTCACTAAGTCGCAAGTAACACGCAGTCCAGATAATCTGCACCTCTCGTGCATCATTCGGTAACCATGGAGACTACGTGCTTTCTGTCCTTGATTGAAATATTCTCTGATGCGTTGATATTCTCAGTTTACAGCACTAGAATTTGCATCTGCACCTGATCTCTGATTAACTAAGTAATTATAATGAGAAAACAAGATTTGTTATCAGCAGATAGTGGAATAATTATCTTGTTTTCTCAGGATAACGAGCTTTGTTATCTTGAGCTAATTGGATAAAACAATATTTGGCCTCTCTCGGCTTCCATAAAATCCAGAGAGAAAATACAGAAAAACTTTAAATCTACAAGAAAAATTTACAAGTTTGTGGAATATTTGATGTAAACCTATAAAATTACTTTTTTATCTTTCTATTGTTTTTAGATATTTAAAAAACAATATTATTATTGATGTTTGTCTGATAACTCTTTACTGCCTTTAGTTGCGCTGGGGGCTCCATACACTGTAACATTAGTAAAGACATTCAATCCTGTGAAAACTTCACACTGGTTGTGAGAAATTTCAGCATTTAACAAGGCATCAGGCCACTTGACATGTTTCCCGCCGAGCCGCCTGAGACTCAACGTTGAGTAGCTATGAAAGGAAGCAGTCATGAGAAGATGAAAAGATAGAAAGGGTGGAGGTAAGGAGGGAGAGATGAGGTCTCCCAGAGAGACCGCTGGGAGGGGTGATGATGAGATGTGAGCAGGAGAGAGAAGTTTAAAGACTTGAAAGAGGAGGAGAAGGCGGAGGCTAGGAGGGAAACTCCCTCCTGGTTATGAACAACTGTTGCACACTGAAAGCTTCATACACAGGACACACTCTCTGCTGCACAGCTTCAGCTGAGTGTGTGTCCATCGGCTGCCACAGATTTTAGCTGTGAAGGAAACCCTTCGAGGATTACAATCAGGAAACAATTTCCTGGAGTTATCGTTTTTATAAATTGGATTAAGACATCTGGAGCCCCAGAGACGTGTGGGTGGGGAGCGGTCTTGAATGGATGAATAAGTACTCAAGGATGACTGGATAAAAGCTTCCAGCAGTGATTGCTGCTCAGATCCTCGTGAGGTATCTGAATGAGCGTTGACTCACTGCAGGTGTGAACGTCTTCGTTTCTCTGTGAGGTCGAGGGAGACTCAGGGGAAACCTGATGACACAGCTGCAGCACCTGCTCGTCACTGAAACTGCTTTCCATCCTCCAAGTTTACAACTTCAAAGCGCAGACTGATCCTCCGCAGGGGCATTGTTTGTCTATATTCAAAACACAGCAAAAAAAAAAAAAAAGAAGTATCATTATGCCCTCACTCTCATTATCTCTGTTTCTGCTGCTGCACAGCTGAGAGGTGAGAGAGATCAGAGCGTGAGGAGTTTTTTTTTTTCTTCTAGATTAGAGAAAGAAAGAGGGAGAGAGGAAAGCAAAGGGGGGAGGGAGAGTAAACAGGCAGTTAAAGGCAGTAAACACATCCCAGCTCTCTTCTAAACACATCAGGCATAAATCAACGCTGCATTTGTCTGTGGTGCCTCTGAAGCAGTCTGGGGACAAACTGGACCAAGTAGGGGACACTGTGTTTGCCCGCCTGGATTCACTGGAGGAAATACAGCCTGAATAAAGTTTGTGAGTAAAAACTTTGATTCACCAGCAGAGAAGAAGAAACCAGAGTTAACCGCAGCCATGGCCTCAGACGTCTCCTACAGCTTCCCTTGCGTTTGCACCAAGAGGAAACAGCAGCACCTCTTCCTTCAGCAGCAGACCAGATCCACCTCCGGACCCCACTGGCCTCTCCTCCACCCCAGGACCCTGCTCCTCCTGCCCCTGCTCCTCCTGCTCTTCCTCTCCCTGTGGAGCCAGCAGGCTGAGGCTGTGGTCCACTCCAGCTTCAGGCGGCTCAGCGGCCGCGAGAAGAAGGAGATGCAGAAGGAGATCCTGTCCATCCTGGGTCTGCCTGGACGACCCAGACCCCACCCGCCCCTACGACCCCCCTCCTCTGCACCGCTCTTCATGCTGGACCTCTACCACGCCATGTCAGCTGATGGGGAGGATGAAGGGAATGAAATAATCGTTAACGGGCCTGGCATGGGGAAGTTTGGAGGGGCAGAAAGGTTGGCTCAGGTCAACCACGCCGCCCTGCCAACCCTCAGCACACACACTCCGCCGCTGGGGACGGTGGTCAGCGAGGCCGACACCGTGATGAGCTTCGTCAACCTGGGTGAGTAGTAACTTCCTCAGGCCTTTTTCTCTGTCCATGTAGCTTGGAAGTAGGTGAACCTGTGGCAGAAATCCCTACTCTGCTGGTTGAGCAGTTAGTTCACATGGCAATGGGTCGGTGATCCAGGATAAGAAGCCTGAGGCAAACAGAGAGTGATGTAGTGAGTTTGGAAGAGTAAAAAACTGGGTGGTTAACACGAGTAGAGAAAACCAGAGCCAGCTACAGAAACTCATAATGCATCAGTCAGGTGTCTGATGAGGAAAAAAATAATAGGAGCAAAGATTTCACCAAAATAAAAGCACAAAAGGATGTCACACACTACCATCGACGATTTGGGAAATACACTGATTTGCTTTCTTGTTTGGAGTCAGATGAAAAGATTGATATCAGCCTCATGTCTGTTTATTTGATATGAAGCTGGATCCAGCAGATGTTTAGCTTACCATAGCATAAGCATAGCATAGCTAGCTGTTAATGCGTTCTATAAAATCTTTTAATTGTTTTTAAGTCATTGGCTTTCCTTTTGGAGAAAAAAAGTACATCAAATTCTACTGTAAATATGGAAAATCCACTTTTCCTTATTCCAATACATTTGCTGAAATGTTTCGATTCCTATTCAGATTGACTAATGAATTGTAATGTGCAGTCTTAGGGCAAATTAGAGCAATAGTCACCCCAAAAATCTAGATATTATTATACCAGATATTTGAATTTAAACTACTCAACTAGTCTAAAAGTAAGAAAACAATCAGACGGTCCAAATTTGGCAGTGATAGCACCCACAGTCTTCTTCCTCTTGGTTGTACAGTTGATATTTCACATGGTAAGAGTCAGAAGGTTTTTATGAGTTTGAATTTGAGGAAATTATCCAAGTGCTGGGATGCATTTTGATTTTCAGCAGCTGTACTGTGAGGGCAGGAGGAGAATCGCTATTAAGTCCAAAAGCTGCTGGTTTGACTTTGATCTTGTTATCGATGTCTCACTTGACCGGAGGTGGTCCGAGTGAAAAAGAAAAGTGAGTGTAGGACATTTCAGGAAATATTTTTTTCTGCGTCATGGATCCAATTATTTATGTTTAATATGCCACTAAAACTGGTCTGATTTCATGCAGAATAACATTTTCAAACCATGCATCAAAACTATGTAGTTTTCAGTGTTTCACAGTAAACGTGGCTCTGCTGCTGTTGACTGTCTGACAGTTTGGCCCCCATGGAAAAAAAGAGTGAAGAGCACTGGTTTAATCTGCACATACATGAAATTATGGAAGTTATGGTGTTGTGTCATGTCAGACAAAGTCTGTTTCCTCAGTTGTGTTTCCTGTCAGGTTCAGGTTCAGGTTCAGGTTCAGGTTCAGGTTCAGTTTCAGGTTCAGGTTCAGGTTCAGGTTCTGGTTCTGGTTCAGGTTCAGGTTCAGGTTAGGGGGAAACAGACTTCAACAATGGCCTTGACTTTTCTTGGGCGGGTGCAGTGACTTCCTGGAGAAACAGTCATAAATTTGTCAGTTTTACCTAATGAAGCAAATGAGCTATAATGGGTGACATTTAGAGGTTAGGGTTCATTTTATCTCCTTTGGACAGAGCCTGCTGCTTTGTGCTAAGCTAAGCTAACCAGTCATGAGAGCGGTATCAATCTTGTCATCTAACTCTTGGCTCAGCAACTTAACTTTGTCTCGAGAACATTTTTATCATCAGTTCTGAATGACAGAGCAGTTTTTGACTTCGCGGTTTGGCAACAAAATGTAAACTGTGAGGAGATGAAATTACACTGTGTGAACTTGATGACACTGACAGTGACATGTCAGTGCTGCCATTTTAGTTTTTTTGCTGTGCAAATTTCCACAAACATTTACCCCCAGAGAGAGAGAATTAAAACCAATGTCAGTACGGCTGAACTGTAGTGGTAGGTTTCCATTTCAGACCAGCATTCCTAAATCCACCAGCCGAGGTTCATTCCTGCTGCTACAGACAAACTGCACTCAGCTAAATCTGCTCTGAGACCACTCTGCTTCAATGTTTAATGAAGGACAGTGATTGATTGTTGAGCTTTACGAGGTTCAAAATGTGATTAGAAAATTGATCTTGTTGTGGATGTTCATCCTGAGAAATAAGACTAAAAAGGATAAAACACATTTCATAATAGTGTTTATCAATATGGTGTACTGTCTATATTAGGTGACTTTTAGTGACGTGGAACTGGACATAATTGGTTAAACTTCCAACCAGGGAATCTTTAGGCAAAATATATAGGCAGCTGAAACAATTAGTCCATTTATTTATTAATAATGTAATAATGATTTTAATCATTTTTCAAGCCATGAAATGCAAGAAATGTTCTGGTCCCTGCTTCTAAAATATAAAGATTCCTCTTTTTTTGTCATATATGAAAATAAACTTAATATCTTTGGGTTGTGTTAAACAAAAAAAAGCGTTTTGAAGCCTCTGGGATGTCGTGATGACAAAACAATTGATTGATTAATCAAAAAATAAACAGCACAATAACTATTATTTATTGCATCTCTAAATATAGAAGAAATACTGTTAAATGTTGCCACCCAGACGTTGTGTGAGTGTTTGTGCCTCTGTTAAAACCACACAGCAGCCTGACTGATGCCTATCTGTCAGAGCATAAAAATTAAACATCCTCGTCTCGATGGCTTCCTTCCTCCAGCTTCTCTGGAATGGGGATGTGATCTGAGCCCAGTTTACCGTGGGAAACATCACCCCTCCCCCACCCCCCACCCCCCCCACCCCCCACCCCCATCTCTCTACCCGGGGTCTTTAATGAACTCCCATCAAATGAAAGGTTTCCTTTTCAAACTTGGTCTCTGTTATGGAGGAGAAAACACACCCTGAAATTTATCAGTCAGCGCTGCAGAATCTCAGCGTCTCATCCTCCAAGCCTCCAAAGGGATTTTGTAAACAAAGGTGACTCAAAGTGACTCATGCCTTTAATAGTGACCCTCGGTCAGTCACAGCCAGTGTTTCCTTTCACACAGTGAAGCTGGTGTTTTGTGGTAAAACCCTTCAAACGTCATCTAAATGCATTTTAGACAAAAGTGTAGCTGGAGACTTCACACAGACGTAGAGGACATCACAAAGAAGGATCTAATTGTGTATTTGCACGACTCACATGCAACAGAGAATTACAGTCATTAAACATATTCTACTTTTCTTACTCAATGATGCTTTTGAAAATGTGACCCGATCCACTGCAGAGATGAGATGGTATATTTAGTTTCTATTCCCATAACTAATCTAATCAGTGTGTGTCGTTCATGTACGTTGAATCCAACAGCTATGGGTGTGTGTTCCTACGCATATGTAATGGGAAGACACAGCTGGTTAGAATTAAAGGCCCCACTGAAACACACTGAAAAAAAAAGCAAACGGTCCGAAGCGAGATGAAAATACTGCTGTGGAGGGAGCGACTCTAAAAATACCAGGCAGGGCTGCAATTATGGTGTGTGTGCTGAGCAGCTGCTGTGGTTCAGGGCACTAAGTGTCTCTAATTACTGCAGTGTGTGTGTGTGTGTGTGTGCGCTGATATGAGCACACCCAACCCATCAGGGGTGTCCTGTCTTTAGTATCTCTATTTACCATGTATTCATTGTGTATGTGTGTGTGTGTGTGTGTGTGTGTGTGTGTGCGCCAAACCCCACTGACCAGAGCTGTTTCGTGTCCCTGTGGGGTTCCACAAGGACACACACACTGTCCTAGTGTTTCAGTTTCATGTGTAGGAGGGCGTGTGTTCGCCTGCTCACCGCCTCATTTACACATTGTTTGTTAACAGGACGTTCACATCGATGTGTTTCACTCAGTGTTTGTTTGGTTTTGCTTCTGTTGGTTTGGATCAAAAGCTGAGAACACTTGACATGATCTCCGCTCTCTCAGCAGCTCCTGTTGATGTGCCCTTTAGCAAGGCACTTCACGTTTATCCTGCTCAGTGGAGCGTGAGTGTGATGTAGGATTGTTGGTGAAAAAGAGCGTACACGCCTCATAAATCCTCTCTGGGTAAATAAAGAACAGAACTGGTGCGTAGTAAAAGTTGGAAGAGAATTTTTTTTTTCCACTCTTCAGGCTTCAGGATTCAAAGCGCCATGTTTTATCTTTTATGAGAACAACTTTGTACCTAACATGTTAAAACTGAGCTGAGGAGTTGGGATATACTCCTCCTACAGCGGTGGAAAGAAACTAAATAAAGTGATTCTGTGAGTCTGGCTTGAGTAGATTGAAGTTCCGTGCTTTTATTTACAAAAATAGTGAGAAAAAAAAACATGGACATCCACAACAAAACAAAACAACCGAAATGATCTACACCTTGCAAAAGTCACCTGTCTGGCTCACAGCCACCCTCAGAGTCTTGGACTAGTCGAAAGCCAGAGGCTTGTAACTGCTAAGCCCCTCCCCCTGGACCAACCGAAATCTAATAACATCAATTATCATTCTTTTCTCACAGTATGCAATTTCAGTGTAAGTTTTCATGTTTCACAAATACAATTTATTAACAGAAACACAATTTCCCAGTTCAATAACTTCAATAAATCCCTTAATTCAGTAAAACGACCCATGACCCAGTAAAACATGGTTTCATCTGCCATCAGCACACCTGTGCAGGTAGCTGCTGCTTCTACTTAAGGAAGCACTTTGCAGCTGCTCTGTTTCAGACCCAGAGACTGTGGAGGAGAGGAACATCAGTTGTGGCGACACTTTGGTTGAATGAGATGAGTATGAATATATTGACCTGAATTGATTAACCTGTGGTGTGGTGTGTTTCTGTGGTCATATATTGTACTGCAGGGGATGTGTGGAAAGTTTTGATTGTGGTGTTGCGTGCACTCACCACAAGGACAGAGGGGAATTATGTGTCTGGGTGACCATTTGAGTGTGTATTACTGAGTGTCCTCTTTACCCATGTGCCATCCGTAATCAGTGACGAGGTCTTGGTCACACTGTAGTAAAGGATGCGTTCAAGTCAATGTGAACACTGAAACAGGTCAAATCTGATTGTAGAGACGATATAAAAGCTTCAGCCTTCCACATTAGTCAGTTTAAGTGGAAATCTTCCAAAGTTTCAGGCTTTTTCTTACCTACTTTTGAAGATATTCACTTGATTTTATTAACTCAAACTGCTCATATATATTGGCTTTAGATAAACATTTCTATACATTTCGGCACAGATCAAAGGACTGGATTTTGTCCTCACTCACTTCCACTGAATCAGGAGAACTAGAACCTCTGTCACTGTTCATATATTCCCCTGACTATTGTATAAAGACAGATTTGGAAAACTGAACCAATTTTGTGCTTTTACTTAAAAATTGTTCAACGTTTTGGTAAATATATATCAAATTCAAATATTTAAGAAAAATCAGTTTTGTAGTTTTATGACAAACAAAATGTATTCATGTTTGTTACACCTGAAGGATGCACACTGTTTTTGGGGAGTATGTTGTTTAAAAGGAAATTCCGTAGAGTCCCTTTTTAAAAGTTGTTGGTAGATGGATTGTTACCTTTGGACAGAGCTAGGCTAGCTGTTTCCAGTCTTTATGCTAAGCTAGTTAGTTAGTATTTAACATACAGATGGAAGAGTTGCATCAACGTTCTCACCTGACTCTCAACAAGAAAGTGAGTGAGTGTTTTTCACTAAATGTTGAAGTGTTCCTTCAAGTATTTCCATTTTATGCCACTTTATATTTTGCTGTTTCAGAGAGAAATGTTGAACTTTTTACTCCACTGCTTTTGATAGCTGAAAAAAATCTGATGCTTTATTATGTTTAACAACACAACAGCATAAAAAGTTGTTAACGAGTTGAGCATCCAGCGAGGTGAGATTGAGTCTTAAATACTTCCAGTGCCTCCATGAGGTGCTTCCAAGTTTATCCTGAAAATAAAATGTCAGTGCTTCCTCTAATATTCAAGAAACTTTGACTATTAATTGTCTTTCATAGCTTTAAAAAATTCAAAAGTACAGGCTCTGATGTCAGTTTAAAAGGTAAAATTCCTTTTATTTTGAAAGCTTTTAGACAAATTCAAACATCTGTCAATCTATTAACAGAAACCTTCATGTGAGGAAAACCTTGTGTTCATATTTGTTGTCTGTTATATATTTGGGAATGACTGAGGCACTGCTTGTCTGAAACATACATCTCATCTGTGTCTTTGTGTCGCTGCAGTGGAGCAGGAGCGCGACCTCCTGCAGCCTCGTCCGTACTGGAAGGAGTTTCGTTTCGACCTGACCCCCCTCCCTCAGGGTGAGACAGTGACAGCAGCAGAGTTCCGTATCTATAAGACCCTGACCATGGGCCAGAGGGCAAACCGCACACTGCACATCTCCGTCTACGAGATCCAGCGAGAGAACCGACACAGGTTCAAACTTTTTCTTTCCCTCTGTTTTTGTTCTAAAGTTATCAGATGTTTTGTCTGAACTGGAACTTTCCCTCAAATTTATATGATCACTGTCTTTACTTGGGGACTTTTGATAAAGACACCAAAACACCTCTACCTTTTAAACACTTCATTGTCATCATGGTGCCACCCTCGTCTTTATTTACTGACAAACAAACCTTGGTACTTGTATAATTCTGCCACTGATCCCACAGCAGCTTTAGAATTACTCACAATAAGTCTTTGGAAAAGATCAGCTAGCAAAAGCAAAACTTTTTATTCATCCAGATGGCAGATTTAACCTTCGTTTCACTGTTGTAGACGGCCACTTACTACTTCAGTACGTGATTGTGTTGTTTTATTGTTTGACAGTTGGACCACCACTTTGGTCCAGACCAAATGTCTCATTCACTTTCTACAGATGTTAAAGGTCTGTAGAGGATGATGATTCTCCTCACTTTTTCTCTGGTGATGTCGACATCTATTGTTTTGATTGAACTATTAAATGGATTTCTAGGAAATTTGGTTTCACACAAAGGATGAACTGTATGAACTGACTTTTCATTGAGGACCACCATCATGACACCTGGTACAAAATGAATGACAATCCCATCAGCCTTAGCTTTACTTTGTGTTTAGTGCTAATTAGCAATAGTTATCACACTAAACTAAGATGGAAAACATTACACCTGCTGAACATCAACATGTTTTGGTAGCTGTTAAAATAAAACCACATAATGTTTTATGTATTATTTGGAAATAGCTTCATATCTGACCAGACGTACACTGGTAATGTAATTAAGAGTATCATCGCAACAGATTAACAGGGTTTACGCCCTGTCTTTGTGAATATTTATCCTTATATTGTATACTTGTGCAAAGCAAACACCCAAAAGGTGCTGTGATCTGTAGCTGAGCCTGATCTTTGACGTCTGAGAGCTTAAAAAAGTTACTCTCATCCCAGAGAACCATCCATGCAAACAAGCTTTGATTTTAACATCCTATTAAATGTACAAATCAAATAATAGGATAAACTACTACTATTCTGACATTGCCAAAGCTAATGCATTATTCATCATGACCAGTGAAGTGAATCATTTTTACTTTGATCTTTTTCCCCCCAGAGAGCCAGAGCTGGTGCTGCTGGACATGCAGTCTGTGCCTGCAGGGCAGGAGGGCTGGCTGGCCTTCGATGTCACCTCTGCCTCCAACCACTGGCTCCTCCACCCCCGCAGCAACCTGGGCATCCGTCTCTATGTGGAGACTGAGGAGGGTGGGTGCAGCACCAATATAACCCTTAACTGGTTTTATTGATTAACATAAAGCTCATTTGAAATGGTTTATTTCCTTATGTTAAAAACTTCCTTTCCAGACCGCTCACTGTCTGCAGGCTGGATTGGGTTGGTGGGTCGCAGGGGTCCTCGCTCCAAACAGCCCTTCATGGTGACCTTCTTCAGGGAGAGCCAGGTCCCTTGTCGGCCGCCGCGAGCTGTCAAGCCTCACCCCCGCAAGAAGAAACCCAAATACGACCTCCCTGTCCCCAGCATCCATAGTGAGGTTCCACATTGTGGGATTAGAGCTCTGGCTCTGATGCTTTAATTTTACTTCACTACACTCAAACATTCACCTTTTTTTTCTTAGTCATGAGATTTCAAATTAATTTAACTATCAATCATTAGTTCATCTTTAAATACCTGTTAAGAAATTACTCAAATTAATGAACTACATAGTTTTTTTTTTATTATGTAGAACTCAACCTATTAATGTATTGATTATCAATGAAAAGCCTTAAAATGTAGAAATTGTAGTGTTAAAGGTTAATGTCCTGCAAATCATTTTCCCTTTGATCACCTTTTCAAAGTAAAAGGATTCATGAATGAAAGTTTGAATTATTAGAAAATATCATTCTATCCTCATTCTCATTAAACTAATTCATTGACTTTGATCTCAATAAATGTTTTTCTTCCTGGTTCAGATCGGAGTCCTGCAAACAACGGAGGTCAACCCTGTAAAAAACATGAACTCTACGTCAGCTTCAGTGACCTGGGATGGAAGGTCAGATCTTTATTCTCTACTCAACTGCTTTGATTCTTGATTTACATTAGAGTCAGGTTTTTATTCAGGTCCATTTACTCCTTAAGTTAAAGTTCATTATCATTGTTGAAGCTTTTTAAGAGCAGAAAAATATGCTGGGTCCCCAAGTTGATTTTTTGGCTGGACCGCAAATGCGGGGCCAGCCCTATAATTGCAAATGTCCCTGACTTGACTGAATGACCAACTGACTAAGTGATGATATTTCCACCACTGCTCAGCTGATTGGCGAGCCGCAGTCCACCGAGACACTCTGGTTTCCAGGCTGCTCGGGAACTGCAAGGAAGAAGGGGGCTTCCAATACACCGAGCCTCGCCTCCATTACAGCAAATAAACTACTTTCATTACATGTATCATTACTAAAGAAGGCAGAGGAATAACTAAACATAAGACACGCTGAGCAGAGAGAGGGAGAAGTCATCAGTAACGAGGCTTCGTACTAACGACAATGACCAACTCTACATATCAAACAGAGGGAGTTAGACATGAAGACCTGCCTCTAACAAAAGTCTGTTACGTTCTGGAGTTAAAAGTAAAGACCCAGATGAAGGCTGTGCTCTGTGTGAGGGGAAAAAATAAGAAATATGATGTGTGTCAAGGTATTTCCCCCTGCAGCACCGGTTCGAGTCCGGCCTGTGGCCCTCTTGCTGAGAAAAAATAACTTTAAAAAAAAAAAAAGAAAGAAGAATGATAGTCTGTCTCTCCTAACTTACTCTCTGAGTGTTTATAAGTAAACCCAGCTGAAATCACAGCTCAGTCTTTGTCTTTCATTTGTGTTTAGTGATTTTGTCAGATGATGAACATCAGGATTTGATTATAGGTAGTCCAGACATATACTAGGTTTGACCTAGTCTTTTTTATGACATACTATACTATGACATTTTAATCCTTTACTATACTATTAAGTTTTTATGCCTTACTATACTGTGACATTTTTATATTATTCATCATGACCAATTATAGTTTTTACAATCACATTTCTGAACATGGAAGTGTGTGCTCACCTGTTTTTATATAACTAGTACATTTAATGAATTGCTTTTATTGTAAATGTAAATGGTTTATTGCCATTGAATAGATTTTACTGTGATACATAAGATAAGAACTGTGGATAATTTTCATGCCTGTTGCTTTGCTCAGGACTGGGTTTTGGCCCCAACTGGATATTCAGCCTACTACTGTGATGGAGAGTGTTTTTACCCTCTGGGCTCCTGCATGAACGCCACCAACCACGCCCTCATCCAGCAAGTGGTCAGTACAGTGATGACACACCCATGTGACACTGTTGCTTCATCCTGGAAACACTCAGGACAGGATCAGACTTTTCCATTAGAAAGTGTACAAGTAGAAGTAGAAAAAGCAGCTAAAACAGAAACGTACAGTATTCATGTGTCACCTTTAAGACTCTGGTACTATCGTACATTACAGTACAATACTTGTATACTTTTACACAAGTAGGATTTTAAGGACTTAAAATAGAGTATTTTTACATTGTTGTATTGGTACTTTTACTTAAGAAAATGATCTAGTTAAGGTTACTACAGAATTTAAGTTAAATACCTAAATAGATTTTTTTTACTCTATACTGTAGGTCCACCTTCTGAAGCCCGATGAGGTTCCTAAGGCGTGTTGCGCTCCCACCAAGCTCAGCCCCATTTCCGTCCTCTTCTATGACGACAACAACAACGTCATCCTCAAAAAGCATCGGAACATGGTGGTTAAGACCTGTGGATGTCTATGATAAGAGTCCGAAACGAAAAATGTACATGGATGATTTTTTTTCCAGACACGAACTTTGCAGAATACTTAAACATTGGCAAACAAGTTGGATGACAAAGGCACCAGATATCTGATCTGGGCTCATGTGGCATCACTGACTTAACTGTCTTTAATCAAATTTTCCAAATTGGCTTTTTTGCTCAGAGGCTTTAACGTTTTTTGTTTTTTTTTCCCTCAAATCTGTGGATATTTACATGTTCAAACACTCGGCTGGTCGAGTCAATACCTGTGACCAGAAATGTCAGCTCCACAGGCAATAGTTAGGAGCACAAGATGTGAGGACATTTTCTTCTAAAGAGCACAAATGTTTAATTTCATGAACTTTTCTTACAAACTTGGATCTTTTCATGCCTGTCTCATCAGGAACAAACCATAGACTCCAGTTTATCACCAATGGCGTTTTCAGACAGGTTTCAATTATGAAAATGGCAAATGATATTGGATGGCAGAACAAGCCATTAGTGATGCCTGTATGTTTTTTTTGTTTGTTTTATAAGGAAATTGACAGCACTATTGTTGTAACACAAATTTATATGAAGAGACTATTAAAATGTATTCAATTAATAAAATAATATTTACATTATCTTGACTTATTGTAGCATGAAATGGACAGAGGGAAAGTAAACAATCAATCCAATCGAATAAGTTTCAATTGGTCCTCTTCCCCCACTGAAGTGAACCAAATTTTACTAATGTAAAACAAAATGTGAAACTTTCATTCTGGTGTCACCTTAAAGATTTCTGGAATAATAGTAAATCTATTTTAGACCAGTGCCAGAGTAAAATGTTACAGTGCAGCATCATGTACAAAGTCGATGAAGACCGGTCACATTAAATACATTGTTCAGTTTATTGAAAAGGGTAAAAAAAAAAAAAAAAAATACAGTGAGTAAATTCATGAAATTTTTGCCTACTAGTGAACATATGAACCAAAAAGAACAGTGAAGAAATATTTTTGGCAGGTACTGGATTAAATCTAATTTTCAGTCCTTGGGGGCGACTTATGATTTTCTTTAAAAACTATAGCTGAAAGCATCGATGAGCACAGAACTGTGTATGTTAGAGGGGTGTGAGAACAAAGTTAGCGCTTGGTTTTCAAAACAAATCTTGTCCTGGTTTAACTTAAGTGGGACAAAGACATTATTGCCAAGATTATTTAGGGAAAGGTGCCCGAGGAGGACGACGGTAAAATGAGTAGTAGAAGAAGAATTTTTTCGGGGAAAGAAAAAAAAAAACAACATACTATGAGAGTTGCTGTGTGGTCTAACGTGAGGTACTGTTGTAAGGTGTTACTGAGTGAGGACACCTGTGGAGCAGCAGCACAGAGGAGGCAAAGCTGTAGAGTCCGTTGCTATCATCGGACAATAACCATGAATCTCCAAAAATGGCTTGAACTAATATCCTGCATTTCAACACCAACAACGTTCAATCCTGCAGTCACACAATGAGATTTTTGTCATTTTAAGAGGCCAATGTTCATGAAAACTCCAAATTAAAATGACTGGAGTTCACAGGTTTTAACCTGACAGCAGTGCCACGTCTACTGTGGATGAGTGATGAATCTATAGTGGGGGCTTTGAATGTGCCATCTATCTATTCCTCTGGACGACACAGTGTTTAGTACAACCAGCTTTTAGCTAGCCACACATTCAAAACTATTGTTTTAACATCTCATTGTAGCTTTTTCAGTCTTGTCAACCCTCCCCATCATTAGTCACAAGTTAATTTTATTCAGTGTTAGCAGGCAAACTTGCTGGTTCTGCTTTCTGGGAACCCCAACCCCAAATCTGGAATAGCAAGGTAGTTGTACATAATAAATATAAAAAAAGGGCTGCTGGTGTACTACTGCCCCATCATTAGTTTTCTCTTACACAAACACACACATTATGTACACAGCACATACACACATTCACCCCCTCCTTCCATCCCAACCCGCTGTCCATGAATACTGACGGGTCCCAGTGTTCGTCATCAACATCCTTCAGGCGCCGCAATTCAACGTTTAGTCCATGGTCATTGTGTATCTGTAAGTAACAGGTTTTGGTGTTTTTTTAGGGTTATAGTTTGAAAAATATTAAGTGACCAATTAAATTTACAAATACCCTTAGTTGCTTCTAATATTATTTTGGTTGCTCTCTGATCTACAAGAACGCAGAATTCAGAAACTTTGAGATGTTTACTACAAACGGCAGCTTCCAGTGAGCACAGTGCTACGAGTGCTGTTGGTCTTACCCAGGTTCAGTCCAGTCGGCAGTCCTTTATGCCTGAACATCTGCCAGCTCAGGAGGCATGGGGGACTTGGGATGTTTGCTCTCAAAGTGCTGCTTGAAAGTCTTGGGGTCAGGCATCTGAGTCTGAAAAAAAAAGGAGAACCAAAGTGTTAAGTTTATTTTATCTTATGGAAACAAGACTCTGCTCTCTACTCAAACTCATGTTTCATGCAGTGACTAACAACAAACTTAAAAAACAACAACAAACTTAAGTCATGTTGAAATCAACAGGTAAGCAGTGCCTAAAAGTTATTTGCAATTAACTTCAGCAGAAGCTCAAACTGCTTGATGATCAATTGGCAAATCAAATACATAAACCTGATAAACTGAGTATGAAGTAATTTTGATGAAATAAATTTACTCTAACTTAAAGAGATTCTCCTGTGGAGAAACCAAGAGATCTGCGGCTGAAGGCCTTTGGGGCTTCAAACAAAGTAACTACAGTGACATCTGATGGTTTGAAAAAATAAAGCAGCTCTTTAAGACTCAGGTCAGAGCACCACAACACTGACCAATAGTTTAAGTCTGGTTTGTGCAATAAAGGTTCAAGAACATTAAAAGAATAAATACATTTGACATATTTTTGCAGACACTAAATATTAATGTACCTTGTTAGTGTAGTTAAAGCCAAGTGTCCACTGTGGACTTGTCTATCATCATGATACAATGCATGATAATACAAGAGAAATTATTTCTTATTATTACTCACTTATTACTTTGGCATCAAGTGGAAATGTCATATTTATGTCTTTCTGGTGTATGAGACCATATTTCTCAATAATTCTCTTCTTATTCCATTAATGTGCCCATCACATAGTTTACCTGCAAAACTTTCAAAACTCTGACTCAGTGAAGCACCAGAGACATCTGAAGCATCAGACATCAGGCACATCCTCATTTGACACAATGTACTGACAGTGCACTTCAAAGGAGTGGAACATGCTTTGGTATCATCCGTCCATCTCTAGAAAAACCTCTAATCAACGACTAAAGAGGAGTAAGCATGCTGCAGCAGAGTGTTGTACTCACCCGGCAGACAGGGCATGTGTGGACCAGAGCAGCCTTAGCGGCGGTCTTCTGGTCGGCGCCCTGAGATTTCTTCTTCTCTGCTGCCTTCTTGGCGTTCTTTTGCTGGGACTGAATCTTCTGCTGCCCACGAGCCATGGCCCTCAGCTTCGACCTGCAGGAAGTTTAAAGAGAGAGACCACAGATTAACCTCCTGTCCAAATAATATGGCCAAAGTTTTTCTCATGTAATGAGAGAAATGCAGAAATGTTTAAGGGGGCAACAGGCAGGACTGTGACCTGCAACTTTAGTCAAGACATCAATTAATGACCAATTTTTGGACCCAATACCTTAATATCAATTATGCAACAACAGATTGAATATGAAGGGGCTGAGGAGCTAAGACGTCGACCATGAACCGGTTCCAGCACAACCAGGAATCTTTGTTCTCTCTCTATTATTTATTCTCTATCTGTAATAAAGGCTTCAAAATGAATGAACTGAACATGACTATTGGCTTTTTCCTCTCATGTCAATCGACACAAAACTTCATCCACATTTAGACTATAGTGTGCTTCCACATTTGTGGCAACAGTTTGGTGAAAAGCTTTTCCTGTTTTGACACAAACACGCACAAAACCAGGCAAAGACAACAACCAGAATACCTGATGGTTTGACGTCTAAAACACGTCATCTTGTTAAACACTCAACAGCCAGTTTAGCAGGTACACTTAGTGTTGTGTTAGTCAGACCTAACACAGTCTAATAAAACACTCCTGTAATAAATCATGCTTTAATCATATAATTATATGGTCAGTTTTTGTTGAGACTTTTTGAGAGGCACTGATTCAACTGATTCAAGTAATTTTGGAGAATGTAGTTTGTGCTACAAGTAACAATTGTTTACAGAATATAGACCCGAATCATAATTCACTATTGACCTGTAAAATGCCAAGAAATAGTGGAAAGTCACCAGAAAAACCTTTTTACAAGCACAATTTCCTAAAACCCAAAAGGAAGTCCTCAAAACAGATTTTAAAAAGACACAAAATCTTTATATAGCAGTTGCATAAGTTTGACATGTGTGCACCTGAAAAAATGGTAACTGTAATAATTGAAGACCTTAGAAAATGGAGCAGGGAGGTGATAACAGTTATTAGCTTTTAAAATACTTTAAAGTATGTGGTTTATTTATTCATCTAATCATGCACCAATTTAGTGCAATGAGTGGTGAAAGAGACCTGCCTGTTTCGTATTAGAAAAGTGTTAGTGATGTAACAACATTACAGGCTTTATTTCACTAAAATCGTTTGTCTTATACATCATTTTCTGATGACTTTTCAAAGTGTTCATCCACTACCAAGATATACAGAAAGAAAAATGAACTGTGATAAAGTTTACATTAACGTTGTTTTTACGGTGCTGCTGAGCACTAGTTTTATCACCAATATCACCACAACACAGGAAGTTTTTACGAAAAATGAACCTACATTTCCAATGGTTTAATTCGCCAGGTCACAACACCACAACAGCGACTTAAACTAGTGCGTTATCCCTGTTGACGCTTCTCTTTAAGTCATTACACCTATGAAGCTTTAACAGGTTTTCTGCAGGGTTCTCCTAAACTTGGCATTGAGTGAAATTTAATACATGATTCACTGCCAATAACCAGTTGCCTACAAGTATTTAACAAAAGCGTTAACCTATTGACTTTTTTATTTGCTGTACATGACAATTCCTGACATCAATAATTAATCAATAAAAACGACCTGGGCTTCGACAAGCAGCAGGGAATAAATGTGTAAATTGATGGATTAACTAATAAAACGAAACAACCTATTTATTTAAGGTCCACATGCTGCCATGCCTCGATATCATAGTTAAAACACATTATTACTTACATTACCACTACCAGCGCGCTATAAAATGTATTTCAGACATCTCTAAATAAAATGACACTTTAATATAATAAAATGTCTTTTTGAGGATAAAACAGAAATTAGTGTGTATAATGTGTGTTTTTAAGACTTGCAGATAACCTGGATAACTTAGCTATTTGTTATCAATTACCTATAATTAAGTAATTAGTCGATTATGTTAAACTGTAGCCACAAATATAAAGTTCCTTCTCATTCAAAAGATAAAAATAAAACAAGTTAAATAAAAATATCAACATCGTCCAAACAGGCCTCTCATCAACCGGCGCCGCCTTGCTAACACTGTTAGCTGATGAGGCTAAGATTACATGTGATCGATTTACTACGCAATACAATGTTGTTGGGGTATAACGAAAACACTGTCGAGCACAAACCGCTGTTATCTAACACAGAAATGAGTTACAACTGTTAAATAGTCAGGAATATATTGATTTTTCAGGCAGATTTACCTTCGACGTTTTACTCTCTCTTCGCTCTTTTGTCGGTTTCTTTTTTGAATACCAGAGGAAACTACAAAGGCTCATAAATCCTGACGGTGACGCGAACAGCGCCCCCAGCGGGACTGGGGAGGAACTGCAGTGTTAACAGCAGCAGCAGCGGTCGCTGCTCATGCCCTCCGTTTGTTTGTGTTTTCTGTTCATTTAAGAAACATTTGGAGAGTTTATGTTATGCTTTTATGTTAGTAGGAAAGTGATGTGTGTTCATACTTGCCCTTCATCCGCTGTGTCAGCCAGAGCAGGAAACAGCCCTCAGGGTCCAGTTAGTGCAGTGTTTTCATGGGACTGAAAACAGTCATCAGTGTGATTTTATTGGTTTATTATGAAGGCTGTGAGTCTTTCAGATAAAGTTTGATTGACTTACAAACAGAACAGCATTAAAGGCAGTCACAGATATCAGTCACGGGAATAATAGTTCTAATTGTCATTTATACAACTTCTTATTGTTATTTATGCAAAATACTTTAATTGCAGTTTTGGCAGTACTCAGGATGCTGAGTGTGTAAAAAAGAAACATATGTACTGGTACATACACATCCGGTCAATCCTTTGGCTGATTTAAGTTCAAGAACCTTGCAGTGTCTTGATTGTAATGAACAAAACACACACCAAAAACATACAAAAGCAATAGGATAGGCTTTTCTTTCTCCTTCACCTCACTTATTCAGATGGTCAATAAATGTCACAGACCAAAAACACATCTTTTTAGGGAGTTTACTGATGTTAAAAAAACACTCTTGGCACATCAGAGAAACTGCTTTTATTTTCCAAATGATTGACAGAATTTGGTTTTGAAAGCGTTTCATGTGATCTCATGTAGTCAGTCTGCATATACTTTAACCATAGAACAGACAGGAATGTCTTGAACAGGAGCGATATGTCACATTAAAAGCATCAGATCCGGTCTTGTTCCACAGACAAAGGGAAACATCTCTTCACAATACCTTGTATCTAACAGGAAAACAAGAGAGGAAAACCACTATTACATTTTCTATCTTAGAAACAAGTTTACTCCACGACATTAATCATTTCTGTAATAACTTCTGCCAGGAATCAGTTGATTTAGTAACTGTAGTTACCTGCCAGACCCATTGAAAGGCATTTATTCCATCTATTCCAGATGCTTGGCATGAGTGTGGCCCAGCTCCCGACATCAAATACTGAACCGTCACTCCATAACCACTCCCCACTCTGTAAACACAAACAAAAGACAAATAGCATGTAAATATGTTAGTCTACATTTTGTATTTGTCAAACATTTTAAAGAGTCACTGAAACAATATAGTGTCAACACTGTTAAGTCAACAGAACTTTAAGATCTGAGTTCACAAACAGCATGAACTTCTGGTGATACCAAACTTATAAATACATTTACACTAAAGCATGAACATCCTGCTGCAGGTATCTGTTCTGTGAGACAAATACATGGACCAGTCTCTTTAAAGTGATGTTTGCGCATTACCCTAACAGCATCATGGCCACCAATCCAGGCTGGGCCATAAAGACCATAATAATTGCTGTCCATTACAAAGTCCCGGATGAAATTGTGCTCCTGTTCGTCATGAATGGATGCCAGATTGGCGCCATAGTGCCAACAATGTTTCTGTAAAAGCAGAGATGAACAGCTCTTACTGTGGGACAGACATAGTACAGCCTCAGGGATACACAGCTTACTTAACATTATAAATAGAAATTTAAAAGAAAAAGATGTTTTAGTTCTAGTCTTTGCAATACTCTCATACATATCAGTCTATGATATAAAGAGTCCACAAGCTTATTCTCTCATTAAAACATAATTGACATTATATTACTCTCAACATGGCAAATCTGCAATTGTGTAATTGAATTGCATTTTTTGTATGTTTCTTTTCTTTGTTGTTGCTGTTGTTTGTACTGTTAACAATGTTTTGTAAAATTGGGAAAATTTATAAATAATGTGTTCAGGAAAAGAAAAGAAATTACATATGTACATGTTGGTAAAAGATTCAAAACCTTTATGCAACATGAGGTAATGTCAGGCTACCTCAGCTTCCATCCAGGCCATTGGGATGTTGATGAAGGAGAAACATCGCCCCCTATAGCTGTGCCAGTGGAAAGGACAGTTGTTCTCTCCAGGAAAATAGTCTGGAGGAAGCACGGTTCCCTGCCATTTAGTCCCCATCCCTGTAATTCTGCGCAGCAGTTCCCCTCGCTTCTCATCTAGCAGAAAAAAAGAATTTAAAAATTGATGGAGAAAGGTTTGTGAAGTGCTAAAATACATTTGGAAAATGGATCTGATCACAACTGACAGGGTGGCATCTGTATATAAATGATTGAGTGGATTAGAGAGTTTACACTGCAGTATGTCTCAGCTCGTCATGGACTAGGGATTTTGGACATGATGTACAGAGCTTTGGTCTTCATTTGCAGCAGTTGAGTTGTATTTCCATTACAGAGCACCATGATCTCAAATCTGAAGTTACAAAGTCCAAACAACCAAAGAGAAGAAAAGGGATTTTGTTTGCTGTCGTAGATATTTTCTCTTACCTGCAGTCTTGTTTTGCTGGACAGGCAGGGGATCCTCCACTGGTTCTACAGAGGATAAGAACAACATGTAACTGCTACTTTTTTTATCTACTCTTGTTTTTTTTGTCGTCACTGTTTTGCATGTGCAGCTGAACAGGCGTCACATTTTCATCCTTTGTCTCACAGGTGGAAATTGAGGTTTAACAACCAGGCATCCATTTTCCATACCCACTTAGAGATTTTCCTCAGATTACAATAATCCTTCTATAACTATGAAAATCTGTTTGGACAGTTTATTGGTGCAAGTATAAACTGAGAGAGTTACATATACACTTTATCTATTCCCCTTATTTCTCCAGTGAATCATTTTTAATGCATAAAATGGTTAAAACAACTTGTAGCTATGGCTGGAGTTAAAGCCTAAGTCTGAAGTGTAACCTTGATATACACTGAACACAGTGAAATAATGTATCATCAGGTATTATATGTTGTTGAGTCTCACCTGGCTTCATCTTCTTCACTGGATCTGCTGTGGAGGAAGATTCAGACCACTGTTAACCATCTTCAAGAACTACCTTTATATCATGCTTTTAGTTAGTTGGGGAAAAGATGCATCAATCAGAATGTATAATATTGGAGACTGGAAACATTTTGTGTCATAATTTTGTGTTGGGTGTTCAGTGTGTTGCTGAGTCTCACCTGTTGTGACGCTCAGAGCGAAGGCAGAACAGAGGAGCAGAACGACCCTCATTGTTTCTGTTGAATAGAAAAGTTAGAGGATGAACAGATGAGCAGAGAGCCATGAACTGGCATGAACTGCTCCCAGGTTAAGATGCATTTAACCCACAAATCTCACCTGCTTCAGCAGATGAATCTCTCATGTGAGTGTCTTCAGGTTCTGTAAGACTATATGGGAAAAAGAACGCTTATATAACAAAAAGCAGCGAGGTAATACTCTTGTATGAAGGATTATCTGTCCACTGGTACTGATCAACTTAGACATTTTTAAGTCATTTATTCACTTGTCTAACCTGAATTACTAACTAAGATCATCTGGGGATTCACTGGCTCCCGAAAAATATGCTTGGAAATTTTCCGGCTTCTGGTTAAGCTCTCCAGCATGTTTGCCATGTCACTGGCCACACTGTTCCCCACATACAGTACCTACAGGATGGCTACTACATGGTGCATAGAGAACATTCTGCCTTCAGTATTAAATAAAAATAATTACCTGGGACCATTTTAATCTTCTGGGTCTGCATTTAGGTAGTTTAGTCCACTGATTCACAACCTAAGGGTCCAGGGCCTCCAAATGGTCACAAGGTAAAGTGATTAGTTCAGTAAAATCTGCACAGTTTATTTTCAGGATAACACTGTAAAAGGTTCATTAAAAGGTCTGTTAGAATCACTTAGAATCTGGTCAGAGACAGGAGAGCAGTAATATATTGTCAGAACTTGGGTATTTTCCGCAACTAACTTACATCTGAGTATCAAGGAAGTAGGACTCTAATAATGCACAAACTTAATTGGTCAGCCTTTAATCAAGGAGACGTGATCATTTTATTATGGAGGGCTGGAGAGGTTCAAGATTTACAGTGATTTATTAAGTCAAACTCTGCCAAAGTAAATCACAGCAGACATGTTGATGTTATTGGATCTGGACAGCGGGAATGTCCCTGACTGACTGACTGATCATATTTCCGCCATTAGTCAGCTGAAGGCCAGTTAGAGTTTCTGACACAAACGGTTCTATTAGTGGAGTGTTTACAGCTGCAGTGATGCCAACTTAGCACTTGTCACTAGATTTAGAGACTTTTTGCAAACAAGAGCAGGTACAGACTGGGGTTTAGGGATACACTTCCTCTACCAGGTGAGCCACCGAGCCACCGAGCGCCCCGGCAATTATGAATTAAAAAAAAAAATAAAGTGGTAAGAATAAACACCACATAAGAGACATTTACACAGAGACAATAAATTAGGTACAAAAAACAAAACAACAAACATTAAAATACACTAAACAGAGTAAGTCATAAATTAACTATTCAAAAAGAATTAAATAAAATGAAATAAAAATAAAAACTAACATTTTATTCAATAGTGAGATCATTTTCTAATGATATAAAAAGATCATTGGCACATTTAGATTTGATTAAATTCAGGGACTTAGTATATATTTATAATTCAAAATAATAACACATGACGATAGGTGGGTCTTTATAAATTTAGCCTTATGGATAAAAACTATTGTGCTCTGAGTGAAAGACTAAATAAGAGATATTGTGTCTCTTCTAACTTTCTCTCCGAGTGATCATTTTACAGTTAATACAGCTGAAATCACAGCTCAGTCTTTGTCTTTCAATGATGTGTTTGGGGATTTTGTCAGACGATGTCGCAGTTGTAAAATCAGGATTTGACCAGAGGTGGTCCAAATTGACATATACTAGCTTTACCAGGCCTGCATGAAGGATTATCTGTCCACTGGTGTTGAACCCAAGAGAGGATATACTGGTCGCAGCGTTACACGGTGAAAATTTAAACTTAAATACAGTTCACAACCTCTGAACAGGAATTAACCTTTAAAGTTCTCAGACAATTCAGTGCACACAATCTAAACACAGTTTCATCACTTTATTACAGTAAATGAGTCCATATCATACACACAGAACAGAGACAGACAGGCTTGTGTTTCTTTCTCTCTCTTTCTCCTCCTATCCCTCCATCACCCAACACACCAGTCCACCATGGCAGAAGGAGACCCACGTCAACAGCATTGGAGTATAAAATTAAATCAAAAAGGTGATGTTATGAACCTATACAGACTTACAATGATCGCCCTCAGTTGATCTAAAGAGAGGTAACATTAACGTACAAGTTTTAAAACAAAAAGAAAAGTAACATTTCTGAGCTACTTTACTTGAAACTGTTGGTTAATAGCAGAAACGTGTCTGGATACAAACACACATACACAACTGGCAGCTCTGCCTGCATTCACAACACAAATGTTTATTTCTGCCATCTTCTGGTCATTAGCAGCAATTCTGAATGCCACACAGCACATAACACAAAATGCCCATGTTGAGAACTTGTTGAGCCGGACATCATCATGTGATTTCTAGTCCAACTAAATACTGTTGAGATCACTCAAGTCAGGACTGAAAATACCAGTGACCTGCAGCGGAGTCATTTTTCGCAATACTGCACAGTAATCATATATAACAATCTGTCACAACACAAAGAGTTCTGTTCCAGTAAGACAAGCAGAAGAAAAGTATGTGGAAAACACACAGACCTGCAGCTGTAGCTGGTGAATATAGTATTTAACAGATAAACAGACAGATAAAAGAGAGTGAACATTAGACTTGAATTCATCCGGTGGACTAAAAACAGGACTCCAAATGAATGATCATGTTGCTCCATATTTACTGGATGCATAAATAAGTAACTGTTTGCTGCCATATCAGCTTAAAAAGTGACATTAAAACAGTGTCGTTTTTACACCTTGTTGTACACCTCATTGCCATCAAGTGACCAAAAAAAAAATCAGTTAATGCAAGTTTAAGTTTTACTTTCTAAATCTGCAAAATGTAAAACTTGAGTCAACTGGCACCTGGTTTCAGCCTGTGTGTTCACATTGCCCTGCATTACTGTGGAGACACAGGGAGGTTTTCTAATTGATCAATAATAGAGTAGGAGGTTACTATGGCAAGAAGAAAACAACAACAGGAAATTGGAAATGTATCTTAAATGTGTTTCCTGTAATTGGTGCAGGTTGGCATGTGTAGAACTGGTCTAATAAAGACTGAACAGCTCCCTCTTGTGGAGAAGCTGCAGATTGTTAAATGTCACTGAGTCATTGAGGTGCTTTATAGAAAAAAAAAAAGAAATTGAATTATGGTAAAACAAACTCTGCCTCCCTGTTCTTGTTTCACTGTTTCAGAGATTTTGCATTTATTATACTGTAAGCAGATACAGATGGGCAGGTGGGAGAGAGCACCTTCAAACCCAAGATGCTGCTGTTACACGGATCAAATGAACAAACATGACACGCCTCAGTCCTTTAGGTTTTAGAGAGACAGAATTACATAATTCATGGGTGATATATTTATTATATTTACCCCCTAAGTGGACAGAAGGAACACATTTTGGAACAGAACCCTTACAACAGTCATTCAACAGTTGGGTGGTCCCACAGAGGGCGGAACAGGAGAGCTGAGTAACAATGATGTTAATGGCTACTTTACAATTTTCACTGGACAAGAGAGAGAAAGAGAGAGAAAGATCATCAACAAACATGAGGAGTAGACTGTTTTTTTTTTCTTCTTTTTTTTTCTTTGCAGTATTTACATTTTGGATTGTGAAAAAAAAAGAAACATATTTACAAAAATGCACAAACTAAAGACTGCTTCGTAGAGAGAATGAGGAAAATAAGATATAAACAACTCTGTAATAAAAAGTAAAAAGAGGGAAATAAAAATCAGTGATATTTACACGTGCGATAAGAGAGGAAGAAAGGAGAGTGAGGAAATAAATGGCTTGTGATACTGGGAGAAGAGAAGAATCAGCCATGTTTGATTCTTCTCTCAGGGATTTCTCACACACTTTTCATAGCCACAGAGTCTGACAGCTCTGAGTGTCACACTCCCTGCAGAGATGATCAAACAAGCTGGTTGGACTCTTTTCAGCAAAGAAAGCAGAACGTGTCCAGCAGTAACCCACCGGGTTAGGTTGCTAGTTTGAAACCCAGAAGCAGCTGGCAGGAAAAAGGAAAAGAAACGCTCTCCACTCTCCTCATATAAAATGACTGTGAATGTGGTGGAATTAAAAAAAAGCATCAGGGCTCTTCCACTTATATTAAAAAAGGGGTTAAAAACAAACATGGCTGCAGGTAAAACAGCAGGTGGAGGCATGGTACAATAGTATCAAATATACTATACTACAAACTTTCAAGTTGTCTGTACTGCTTACTAAAAATCTGTATTGTTGACTGCTCTATTCCTAAAACACTGGCTGTTCAGACTGCAGTTTGGGATATGGTCATACACACACACACAGACACACACAAGTTTGTACTTCTATACTAGTGATACATTCTATGGGCCCCCAAACTTACTTCTAAATTTATCTCTAAAGCGTCTTAGTTTTTTGAAGTGAGGATTGGCCAAAAGTCGTCACTCTCATGGGGTCAAATCCGAATCGCTCCTCGTAAAGATAGAAGTACAACAGCACACAAACAAACAAAAACACAGTCACCTTAAAGGAGTTTCCGTGCTTGATATTCATGTTAACATTTAGCCTTTCACTCGTGATTCTTACACTATGCTTGTGTATACATGTCAGCAGCACTAATGACCTGAAGCACATGTTCATTTATCCTGTTACTGTTGTTTCTACGAAGCTTCTTCTTGTAAAAACTGAAGACTTTTCATTTATTTCCACTGATGAGAAATGAAGTTTGCTAAAGAAGCTGCAACACTATTTCAAAGCCTTCTCAGTCAACAATTCACACATTCAACTCTCATCCAAAAACAAAGAAATAAATATGTTTACATCAAGTATCCTCCATTTAAAAACATGCAATTCCCATTTAAGCATTGTTTAGTTTATCTAATTAACGGGAGGACTCACATTCGCTTTTCTTGTTTCCATACAGTGTATGAGTACAACAGCATTTTTCTCTACACTGAAACCAGGACAGGAATGATCTTAATGCTAGAGGGGATTTCCACCAAAAGTGACTTCTTGGTTTTTACTTCTAATCTGCAAACATTTTTTCAGGGGATCTTACAGGTTGTTGATATAGGTTTTTGACCACGTTTATTAACAGATTTTAAGACTAAAACAAGGAATCAGTTCCTGTATTCTGTATGGCTACATGTCAACAGGTAGAATAGAGAAAAAGACAACATGAAATTGTAAAAGGAAGCGATCAGGTAACTATATTTACCACATTTTAATACTTTTCAAGGCTTTAAAATGAACAGTATATTTTTTAAAACCGATTTCAGATTTAAATTTCTTTTAAAAAGCACCCACAGTTTCCCTAATTGAAAAGTTTTGACTTCTTATCACCTCCAGTAGCACAAATAACTAAGTGAAAGTTGTGAATGAAAACAAAGAAAAAACAAATGTTTTTGTTTAGTTAAAGGAACACAATTACAGCAAATTTTAGTGGAATAAACTTAAGACTTTTCTTGATTCAGCCACTGGCTCCGCAGTAAACTGCTGTTTTGATCAGCTATTACAGCCTCTAGTCACTGACAGTAACACCAGTGAAACCAGAGGATTTTCATTTAAAGGTAAAATAAAGGAATAAACAAAGCTTCTTCTTTTAGATGGTTAAAAGGGGCAGAAGTTTGTTTAATTTCTTTGAGCAGATAAATTTCACAAACAATTTCTTTAAGAGGCATCAGTGTTGTGATGAGTAATGACTCATGTTTTTTTTTAGTTTATTAGATAAGCTTCAGTTTTCATCTTCAATTTAAGATCACAAGGAACCTCTGAGCTTTTATTGGTGTGATGATCTGGGACCGTGGCGTCCTCAGCACAGCCATCTAATCATCAACTGAACACAACTAATTATTTGACAGGACAGAGAACAAGCAGCTTTGTTTGCTCAATATCAAAAGGCTCTAGATGAAGATCTCAGTTTGCTTTTGTGGAGCACCACAGTCACACTTTCTTCACAACTCTATTGGTGAGGAACAAGAGGAAGAGTTTTCCTCTGGATGCCTCTCTGCTGTCCTGATGTGTACAAATAAAATCACTATTAAAAAGCGGTCGATTTCACTCATATTTATATGGCAGTTTAAATGAAGTACAACTGTGGACAGGTCCAGGGGACAAGACAAAGGCTGGTACTCAGTGATTGGCTGGTGTCTGGTGATTTCCAGTCCAGTCTAAAATCACAGCCACTGAACATGACAAATGTCAAAGGGATATTCAACACACCTCCAACCACACACAGATTAATGCAACCTACAGCTGCAGAGTTTTTCTACTCTGCCTCCTCAGCAGGTAAATTAACAAGACCTGGAGATTTAATTTGAGCTTAAACATCAGATTGTGTGATTTATGAATTCATCAGTCCCCACATCTGTTCTCCTGCCCTGAGTTAAATAAAATTACTTTTACCCTGATGACCTACTTAGGGACAGTTCTAGTCTTGGTCAGGCAGTGTTCAGTCCAACCCTTTACTAACAGGGATTTAAAACATGGAAGAATAATTTAAAAAAAATTATCTGAGGTGGAAAAAAAAAAAACAAAAAAACAAAACTAGAGACCAGTTGTGTGATCACATGATGCTTTCAATTACTCAAATAAATAAACACAAATATAAAGAAGAAAAAGGAAAAAAAAAATGTTGATTAAAAAAGGTTTATATTACAGAGGACCAGCCCCCACTATTGAACCTTCATACCACCCGAGCAGCAGCGAGACGACTGTGTGTGTGACCTGCCGTAATTTCAACCCTGGCAGCTACAGAACTAATAGTTTGTTCAATGTATTTACTGTACAAAAACAGATCATCTAAGAGGAGAGCAAGCAGCATGGAGGAAAGCAGTAGAGTGTGAGTGTGTGTGTGTGTGTGTGTGTCTGAGATAAGGGTGAGGCTGGCAGGCAGACAGGTGAGAAGCTGCTTCAGATGCTGTTAAGAGATCCTGGTACTGAACTGTGTTGAGATGAATCTGAACCGGTGCCATCTGAAGGAGAAGAGGAGGAGAGAGAGAGGCAGAGTGAGCTGTGAATTAATGGTCTGCAATAGTGCAACAGACATGACTGTAAGAGGTGAGTACAATCACTACAGCAGAGGACATTACACTAGAATTACCACCTTGTGGTCAAGTTGCAGTTTACATCCATGTCTGTCCAGACTCATAATATATGTAGTGAAGACTTACTTTGAAGGAATTTAATAAAAGGTATTAAGTGTATTTTATCATAATTAGTATACTCATTCTTCTGGCCCAAAACTGCACAGTGACCTTTGACCAGTTCTTCTTCGAGTCCAAGTGGACATTTGTGCCAGATGTAATATAATTCATAATATATCATGTTCACAAGAAAATCTAAAATGGCTAATTTCTGGATAACAGATCAATATTTCAAATCTAAAACGGAGTATCAGGACCTCATTGAGGAAAAAAAAAATTAAGTCGTGAAGTCGACTTTACGAGAATAAAGTCATAATTATGAGAATAAAATCATATTTCAAGAAAACAGTCATAATGTTATGAGAATAAAGTCATAATTTTATGAGAAAAGAATCATATAATGAGAATAAAGTTGTAATTTTACGTTCCATGTTGTTTTCGAGGGGAAAATATTAGAAGCTTTAAAATGAGGAACGTGGAGCACCCTGTGAAGTTCTTCTTTAGCAGAGGTTTCACAAATAAGCAGATACTTCATCTTATGGCGGCTCATCATCATCATCATCATCATCATCATCATCATCAATATCATCATCATCATCATCATCATCATCAGGACATTGAAAAGATTGTGAAGAAACTGAGTCTACTCGATTGTTAGACAGACAAACAGCAGGCTGCCCCAGACTGTCCTTTCACCTGTTTGATTGGTTGCTCGTAATATCCTTAAAAATATATTTTTTTCTCTCTCGAAATTTTACATTTCTAATTCTTGAAATATTACGACTTTTTCTTATAAAATTGTGTTTTTATTCTCGATATTACTACTTTATTCTTGTAATCTAATCAGTACATGACAAATTTTGTTTATTTCATATGCAGTTCTGTCATATTGTATCAGGAAACAGCTCTTACTCTTTTGTTATTGTAAAAAAAAAAAAATCCTCAGCTTTTGAGGTTGTTGAACTGCTGAACCACGATTTATAATAAAAACATGTTTTGTAATAAAAACATGTTATGTCAGTATTCCATGCCAAATGATTTACAGCTTTTGTAATTTGCTGTATGATTAAAACTATTCTGCAACTTTTATATGCAATTCATGAAATTGAGATATAAAAATAATCACTCTAAATGATAATAAACATTTTTAATGATGTTTTACAACACAGTGACTGTGACTGCAAAATAACAAAACCTAAAGGGAGTGTTTTAAGTTTTTTTTAAATTCCAGACTGTTACTTGTGATGTCTGGATTGTTTGTCATGTTATTGTTTTTACACCACACCGGAGCAGATTTTGTCAGCCAGCATGAAACCATGCAAAACCAGTGATATTAACACTGACAATAAAATGATAATAAGTTTCCCACCGTGGGCAGAAGCAGCTGTATGAGAGCGAGCGTGAGGAGGGATGAGGGTTGAGTTCAGCTGGGGCTGGATTGACAGCTCTGCAGAGGATAAAAAAAAAAAAAAAAAAAAAAAAAAAGAGTTTTCAGTTCATGATGAGTCACACAAGAGGACAGAGTCGTTTAACAAAAGAAGAGTGTACGCTACATTAACTGCACCTCCTCAAGGGTCAGAGTGCTGACCCACAACAAACCAAGAAACACCATCTGATTATATTTAGCTGAACAGATGTTGACTGTGACTTAAACAGAGCTGAAAAACCTGTCAGCCAAAAGAAAGGGAAATTTATCTGTGTTCATGTACCTGTGGTGCTGAAGTTGAAGAGCATCGGCAATTCTCGGCCGCTGGGCAGTCGTGTGTTGGGCTGGCGCAGCTCGTCGAAGAAGGCATGTGAACAGGCCTCTAGTGGGGAGAGGCGTGAGGCCGGTGTGTACTCCAGCAGCCGAGAGCAGAGAGCAATGGCCTCTGGAGGGGTGCGAGGTTTAAACACCTGAGGAACAAGAAGAGATTTATTTTAAGTAGTAGTCACAAAAAATGGCGATTTCTAGCATGAATGTAAACTACTGTCTAAACGAGTCCAATTCTAAATGATGAACAAGGTTTTTTTCAAGACAGAAACACCCAGTATCACTGATATGAAGCAACCAAGAAGGAAAACTGATGAGAGGGGAGGCAGATTTATCTTAAAGCATAATTGTACAACAAAGTATTTATCTTCTGGAGGCATGCGATTCGGATGTTAATTTACAACTATTATTATATATTTTATTTTAGCAAATGTGGTAAATCTAGAACCTGAAAAAGAAAGGAAACACAAAGAAAACAAAGGTAACAATGGTTAGAACAAGGAGGTGAATCTAAAAAAACAGCTGCATGTATTCTCGAGTAGAAAGCTATCCACTCTGTAGTAAATGTTCAAGGGCCACTTCTCCTGGTTTTACGTTGTTTCTGTACTCTGTAGGTGTGCAGGTTAATCGACTTTCAAAAGAAGGATATTAAAGCAATTCAACCTGCAGATTTAAATAGCCTGTGTAGGCAACAACACGTCTACAGCTTTTCTTTCTATTGTTTTACTAAACTGGAGTCCAGCACAGTATGTCACTTTCAAGTTTCCTTTTTGGAACAATTGCAATCATGCAGATTATTGTAGAGTGCATATATACATAATTTTTCTACTTTTTTTGAGTTCATCTACATAAAAATATATAAAATGTGTCTCATACCTCATTAGGCATGTCATAAAAATCAGGAATTAAATAATAGTAATGACCATTGGATCTGAAACAATTAGAAAATTAATCAATAAATTCAATGACACAAAAACAATCTGCATTCTGGTCATCATGTAATTGTTTACGTAATTTTTCAGACAAAACTGCACCAAAAAATCCCAGTTAGAGCTTCTCTATTGTGAATATTTGCTGGCATTATTATTTTCTGTTTTATAAACTAATATCTTTGATGTTTTGAACAGCTGTTTGGACAAAGCCTGACATTTTATAGGCTAAACGATTGATCAAGACAATAATTGGCAGATTAACTGATAATGAAAACGATGATCCATGTCTTTCAGTTAAAAATGTCTTTGTTTTCAGATTTTCTTTCTCAATTCTTCAACTCTGCATGCCTTTCCAGACAGAACAGGCCTGCAGAGGACTGCCTGGTGTTTGTCCTCAGGTATTTATTTACCTTGGTCCATGGATGAGCTTTGATCTGAGGGAATTTGAATTCTGTGTAGTTTGGGTTCATCTCTCGGATTTGCTCTCTTGTTGGTGTTCCCAGCACCTGAAAACAGACAAGGAGGGTGAATGAGCAGGATTCTGTAGACACACAGAGACCATGTTAGTGTGTTGATTATTCTACCTCTATTATGATATCAATACAGAACATTAATATCTGTTAATATCTTGACACACAAGATATTTTCTGATTAATCACGTTTTTTATTTGAATGATCCAATGTTGATTCTTAAAATCCCAAGATCGATCTTTGCATTTGTGCCTTTTTCTGAGTAAACATGTACAACTGCACTAAATGTCATGTGTATGCAGTGGTTACTTGCTGTAAGTGGTTCAGTAAAAGCTGCAAGAAGTGTGAATTGTGTATTTTTGGAAATCAAACTATTACAACTTGCACAAAAAGGTTCTTTTAAGTTAAAAAGTAACAGACGATAGCTGGCTGTATTATCAGCCTTGAGTCACAACAGTCCTGTAAACTGTGACATCAATGGTAACAGTCTATGTGGACCTGCTGCAGTCTACAGGACTGTCGTGACTCAGGATGGTCAGCTGACTGTGGCTGTATCGTAATGAATCTAGAAATTGCATCTGGAGACTGAAAAAAGACTGCAGACTGATCTGAGCTCAGTTTGTGTTTGTTGAAGAGATATTATCTCTGTCTACGAGATGTGAAGTCGTGGAAGTTGAGTGGACAGTGTGTGGATTCTACTTTATTCAGTCTGTCCCTCCTGGGGAGCAAACAGCAGCTAAAAGCTGTCTGCAGATATCAGGCAACAAACAGATGAATTAGTGAGCAGGCTCTCAGTTTCTGTTCCGTCTGTGCTCAAAGTTAACGAGGATGTCTGTACTGAGCTGAAGCATCCACTAGTGTTAGTCCATCTGTAGCTGCATGTGACAGCAATTGTTTTTTTTAAATATGCAAAACTGATAACAACCTTGTAACTGTTTTGCCTAGGCCAAAAAATTATTGATGTGCCATCAATTATGGTTGTTTTTGCCAAGGCAAAGAATTCCTTGGTCTACAGTTTTTTAACAGGGAAATGTATTTACAGTTTAGACTATAATGTGACTTTACACAATTTTATATTCAAGGAATAAACAATGTTGTTCACTTGTAATTTGGAGAAGTCCTTTATGCAACATTGGTATTTATCTGATATAACTGAATCATTAAGAGTCTAATAAAAATGATTCAACTCTGGACTTTGTGAATGGAAATCGAATCGGGAGATTGGTGCCAATATCCAGCCCTGAAAACAGGAAGCTGTTTTAAGATTGGCGCAGTAATAAAACAGAATACACAACCAGTACAAAAGAAACACACAGATTACTTAAAAAGGCAAAAAACACTCACCTTGATTATCTCTACTAGCTGGTCCACCCCACTGTCACCGGGGAATATGGGCTGTCCGAGCAGCAGCTCAGCTAGTACACAGCCTGCTGACCAGATATCAATGTTTGCTGTGTAATCTGTGGCACCAAAAATGAGCTCAGGGGCCCGATAATACCGTGAGCAGATATACGACACGTTGGGTTCACCACGGACCAGCTGCTTGGCGCTGTGGAAACACAAGAAATCAGATTAAATGATGACAAAGGGTGCGGCAAAGAAAGGCTGGGGTGCACGGCTTAGACAGGTGATGAAGAGGGTGAAGTACTATGGAGAAAATAGTTATCAATAGTTACAGTTAGATACAAATTAGAACCTAGTAAAGATTAAGAACAAGTTCACACTGACATATTGAATACAATTCCATAATATTCGTGGGCTGTTGGTTATTACACTTGTATCGGCACTGCCACATAATGTTTCAGGATAGAAACTTTGAAATGGCACGTTTAATTCTATTCTATTAGATCTTTTTAAATAGGGTTAGGGTTAGGGTTCGTTCTCTGTGAGGAGAAATCACAACAACTCACCTGCCGAAGTCACACAGTTTGAGGATGGCAGTTTCTGGGTCGACAAGCAGGTTTTGGGGCTTGATGTCTCTGTGACACACACCCTGGGAATGGATATAAGCCAAACTGCGAAACAACTGGTACATGTACACCTGAAGAGGTCATAACACAAGAACAACATAAGATCAGCTGTCCACACTGTTGAAATGCCAAGAAACTAAAAGACAACATAGCAACAGGTGTGGGGGTGGTGTTAGGAACATCACTTACCAAAAACATCCACAAAAAGCCTCAATACTTTGACAAAGAAAATATTTAATATACTAAATTTTACTGAAGAACTTTTCCAAGTCTGAAAAAAAATAATTTGCATAAAAATGAAAATGTCTTACTATTCAACAACCTTCATCAGGAAGATCTATAAACTTCTCATTTTTATTCTAAATAAATATTCTAAATAAAAAAACAATAAGAATACTTGTAAGAATACTTGCAACACATAAATGATACAGTGAACGCAAAATTAACTGGTGAAACTTACCTTCACGTATATTATGGGAATGATGCTCTTGGCCTTGTTAAAATGCCTGGCAACCCTGTAGACCGTCTCAGGGACAAAGTCCAGCACCAGGTTGAGATACACTTCATCTTTCTGGACAACAACATTAAACAGAGAGAGAAGGAGATAAGTGTGTTTAAGATATAAACAGTTTAACAAATGTTTCAAAGCCCTGCCCACTGTTTCAAAACAGTGGGCACATAGATACCACAGACTGGATTATTCCATGAGCATATTAAGACTGTATGATATGCAAAAAAATAAAAAATCAAATAAAATCATACTGTGATATATTTTCAGTGGGGAAAAAAATACATACATAAAAATGATGATGTGGTTTTTGCTGGGGTCTGTTCAAAACAAACATTTGGAGAATCTGATTTGTAGGCTGGGGCATCTCTGCAGCACCACAATGCTTCATTTATAACGGTATATTGTTCCACATTTTACCTTTATCAAAAAATTACAGCTCCTGAAATTTGGATATTGCTGTTGGCCATATAGTGATTTCAATAATATTTCTATTAATTATTCAGCCCTAAAGCTCCCACACACACAGAGCAACTGCCTGCCGTGACTCTTTTAAATAATAAAAAAAAAGCACATGCACTGACTAATAATATTGTTTCCAGTAATTTACTTCTGCAACATTTAAGTCAGTGTTTCTATATTTGTCAGTCCAAGAAATAGCGTACTTCCTTTTTTAGAGTAGGGGTATTTCTATTTACGCTGTATTTGAGTAATCTCATCTTTAATGTGTATTGTGTGCATACATCATTTCCTCTCTTTTACTGTCATCTCCTGAAATTAGTGTCCTGTGAGACAAGAGTGTGTAATATGGTGACTAAGCAAAAGTTTGTATGATCAGAAAACAGCTTTGTTTTCTGTTATTCCAAGTTTCTATAATTGTACTATTATGTGTTTTTAATTTGTTGATTTATATGCAATCTTCCTTCAAAGTTTTATAATGTGAAAAACAAAACAAACAAAGAGCTGAAGTACCTTCTCGCCACTGGAGTAGAAGAAGTAACGAAGTCTGACAATGTTGCAGTGGTCCAGCTTCCTCATGATCTGTAGTTCCCGATTCTGCAAACACACGAGTGTAGACGGGAAACCAAGTAAACAAACTTTGAACGACAAAAAAACCTTCCACACACCATTTGGTTCAGATAATATGTCGAGGAAGATTACACCTTTACCTTGAACCTCTTATCCTGCAGAACTTTTTTGATGGCCACCATCTCTTGGCTGTCGATGAGCCGAGCTTGGTACACCACACCAAACGAGCCATTACCAATCACCTGTAAAGAGAAAACAGTTCATCAGATGAGGTGCAAATACAGTCATTCACAATATAGTTTCTTACAGCTAATGATTCAAGTTCATTTGCATCAGTCCAGCTTCAGTAACACAGATCACATTTTCAAAAAACCTTTTCTAACAATTTTGCAGATCACGTTCATTTTCAGAGTCTAAACTGGTGCAACCTGTTTGTTTGAAGTAGGTCAGCAGCAAATTTTTCACCAGCAAAGGCAGGTTTATGCTAAATTTCCTCTTCAAGCACTCAGTGCGTTTACATGCACTTCAGTAACCACATTACTCAGAGAAACCAGGATACATGGGTAATTGAAGAATGTGTTGACATACACTGTAGTAACCTGGTTGTGTCCATTTTTTTACAACCCAGTAGACTTGGGTCACTAAAGTAGCATTAATGAATACTGGGTTTTTTTTGTGTTTAATCAACACAAACAAAAAACAAAGAAAAAAATCTTGATCCACTGAATTTGAAAGAATTATGACCAAGGTACATACTAGGCGGAACATTTTTAAATGACCTTAAACACTTTCTAAATTACCTTGTCAATTGGGGGAGGTGAAGATGGAACTGTTGGTATCGATACTGTTGCAAATGAGTATCTAATACGATACTAGTTCTTAGTATCAATTAGTATCTAAGTGTTGATTTTTTTGACAACCGTAGTAAGGACAGAGTTTCTTATGATGAGACTGTTAGGTCCTGGGTTTCCTCTCCTCTGCTCACCTTGATGTCAGTGTAGGAGACTTCCTGTGGGCGGTCCGGTCCCTGACCTGGTGTGGCCACAACTGTTGTCACCTTCCCACTGTCTCCTAGGAAACAAGGAGAAACAGGGTTAAAAGGAGGTCATGGCAAATAATAATAAAGTAGTATGATTCATACAGAGAATGTGGCTTTACCACGCAGCATGAGTAAGAATGGGGATACCAAAGACTGATTTTTCTTTTTTTATTGTCCTCTATTTCACTTCGAAGTAGAAGACTTTGTTCATTTGTAATAACAGGTAATCTGTTAATTGCTTTATTATGCTAAAATGTGTGAAGTTATAAAACGGATTAAAATTGGCTGTGGTCCCTCTGGCTACTTCCTTCAAGAGGTAAAGATATGAAATGGATTCACAACTTCACCAAAACAATACCCCTGACATTCAACCCAGGACACTTGCTGCAGCTGGCCTTCACATCTGGGTCATCTCTCTTCTGACCGTTTGAATATTTAGGTTAATGACAGCCCAGTGAATGGATGTCAACTTTACAGAAGCCTCCAAGGAAGGGGAAGGGAATGGCAGAGTTCATCTTCAAGACAAGACTGTGCCTAATTAAACTGGGAGTGAACCCAAAAATAGGACAGCCACTTTCTTTGTCCTGATAAACTGTTTTAAGTGATGACAGCCTTAAATACAAGGATTATTGTGTCATATCATCCAGCAGTAATGCACTGCTGGATGATATGACACAATGATAAATAAATAAATAAATAAATAATAAATCTACTGGTCAATCAAACCAACTATCCCCAACAAAATTCTCATAATTTTATTACTCACTTGGGTGAGTGGTAAACGCCATATTTCCAGTATGAAAGCCCCTTTTTTGGTCATGGTGTTTGTTTTCAATGGTTTCCTTGGCTAACTATATATCTAACTAAATAGAAAAACACATTTATGCGCGTTTAAGTCATGAACTGCAATATCCTTCTCCTCATTTCCTGTCACCTCTCAAATGTCCAATCTAACAAAAAGGCATACAAAATACCGCAAAAGGGAGAAAAACATGATAGAGCCTCTACACTTAAATTCCTATACTCTATAAATATATAAAAAAGAAAAAAGTCACGTGAAAACACTTCTATCCACCATGCAATGCTCTATTCTTATCAGTGTTGGGGTCAACTCTAGTTTAATGTTGTTTCAGCCACTATGGCTCACATTCACTTATTCCACTAGTCTTAGCATCTTTAGACCATGATGAAAAATAGGAAACTTTATCTGTTGTTACAGTAAATTTAAATACTTGAAAGACAGACTAAAAATGTAGACTATTGGTTCATCTGTACCTGGTTCAGAAATTCAAATTCCAAAAGGAAAAATATTAACTTTGAAAAGCTAAATTTTATGAAGAAAGTGTGAGTGGAGACCTGAGGCCTAAAAAGGACGAAAATATAAAAATTCTGGTGAATTCAAATTTCTCTGCTCAACCAGCTACCTTATAAATCGAACACTGCAATCTGCAGCTTAACTTCTGTAATTTCGCACAGACACACTAAAAGAAGCTACTAAGTTTGGGATTCCTTTAACCAGTGTGGCCAGTCGATGGAAATTTAATTTTCCTCTGCTGATGTGTTGATGTGTTTAAATAATGGAGCAGCCCTTTGCCATCCAGTTGTCATCGCGCTGTATCACTGTCAGCCTGACCTTGTCCACATACTTAATGCTTTGTTTACCAAACAAGACAATGCACTTATTGATATGGCCCTCTTAAAGCCAGAACTGCATGTCCTGGAGCTCATGTGTGTCCACATCCACATACACACACACAGTAAATTGTCCTCAGCCACAAAAGTGAGGTGGTCATCCAATAGGCATGCTGGCAATATCTGTTACAGCTGAAACTGTGAGCCCTGCAGAGTGACCGGGTCAGTGAGTTCCCCAACTCAGTGACTGAGTTCATCCTCTGGACAGGAATACGTGCATGCGCGCGCACGCACACACACACGCACACACACACACACACGGCTGCAGGTTAAAAGTGGGGCAACTGGGTAAAGTATGTGTTTATGCCAACTGCCTATGTTGCTCCTCCTCTTCCATTTTCCTTGCTGATGTATCCGTCAGTACAACTGGGGACATCAGAGCTCTTTTCCTGCTGTCACTCATATCTTCCAGTATGAAAAACAACTTTCACCAGCTTGAAACTTGCCGGAGGTCAATAATCTATCATAGTAAAAAGAGGCCTTACTCTGGCTTTGTCAGAGTTTCTGATTTATCATCACTTCATTGTGTCTGAACTCAGTGTTTTCATATCAGCAGTGCAGTGTCTTACTGCGCTTCCTGTCATTCACAGAAGGAAACTCACATCTGCAGGAAGAAATAATATCTTAAAAAAACAAGACATTTTTCAAACTTTGTCACATCCATATCTATTTATTTAGTGTCTTTAAACTCAAAGTTACATCTGTATTTTAAGAATTATAAAAAAAATTAATACAGCAGGCATACCATTCTGATTAACCAGCAGATTTTTGTGTTAATGCCTTCATACACACAAAAAAACTGTACTTAAATGAACTCCACATCTTAAAGCAAAGTAGCTTCAAGAGAATTTAGTTTACCTTATTAATATGCAGTTTAATGCAGCAAGATCTTCCAAAATCTAACCAGGCCATCTACTCTATAGGGAGAACTTCTGGTGTAAATGTGAGGTTTCAATCAAGCATCTATTGTTTTAGAGATATTGTGCTCATGTGACATGTGTCTACCACAGAAAGAGAATTAACACAATGTCCATTTCCCTGTAAATCATGGTTATGTCTGCCAGTAATTAGTAAGCTGGTTTACATGAAATGTATATTGAGCAATTGTGGACAAAACAATCTTGTGATTTGACCATCCCAGTGTTGATCACATGATTTTATCTTATCATATCTGTCCCTGTAGAATTTTCCATTAAGACATAGCCATGAATCATTATAGAATTGCTGCCCATTTAAGGGAAAATCCAACATTAAATAGTGTTTTTATATCGGTATCTCAATTTAACTTTTGAATATGAACATTCCTCCTAAAGTCGAATACACAGAAGACAGACTGTGGTGATGAGACAAATCCTGGAGCTGCTCCACAGACAGTGAATAATGGAACAACTGCTTGGACACTGTGACAGCATCCATGGTAGACTGGGATGTGGGGAAATTTTCTGATTTATTGCAGTAACCCCTATTTGCAGATGCCTTTCCCTTTGGATATAGTATCTTAACATTATGCAAAAACTCTATGAGCTCACTAATTCATTCAACTGATAACCCTAACCCATGTAATGATATTGTCAATTCAATAGATGATTCTTTAAACTTTAAGTAAAGGAATAGCACTGGCAAATATTTATATCATGTAATAAAAGGAGTGGAAAATGTTCGACTGTAAAATGCCACCACATTGGAAATGTTCATCTTCATTCCCTCTCTCTTTCACTGACATACAGTGGGCTTCTCAGTTCATCCTTGAGACATTCACACCAGCTGCTATAATGCAGGGTAGTGTCAAATACTGTACCATTTCTACTAGGTCTACCCCTTGCTCCAAACCAATTCAGAAGGTAAGCAGGTGGGTGACAAAGTTATTTCTTCATCCACCAGCCACTCTAGATGGAAAGCTTTAGTTTGATCTTTAAAGGTCATGTTCAAACTTAAAGATACATTCTGTAGCAAAAGACTAAACTAAGGCCATGAGGTATATTTCATAAGCAGAACTACTTGGAAACCCGCAACATTTCATCATCAGATTCTTCTAGTGTTGTTCATAATGACAGACCACTGGTTGGTATGGCAACACAACATCCTTAATGTTCCATGTCCAAGTTTAATTTTTACTGGTGATTCAAGATGTCAAATCAAATCATTCCCTCTCACAAATATCTGTCTAAATAGGTTAATCCTGTCTCTTGAAATAGCCCACAGTCTCCCAAACCTGACAACATATCCATCAATCATCCTAAAGAGTATCTGTAACAGCCAAAGGGTGACATTTCAGCTTAAAGGGCCCTCAGGCTCTGCTCTGCTGCTGCTGCTGCTGAGGGAGGGAGAGAAAACAAGGGTCACACTGCTTTGAACTAGAGATGACCTCCCATTCAGGCTCTAATATCAAAGTCACAAACAGCTGCCTGTTAATGCATGATAAGGTTTGGATTAACACACTTGCATCTCTGCTTTCACCAGTCACTACAGTGATAAAAGGGCATACTATACAACCATCTCAGACAGGAGAGTAACCTCCTTGGCATTCCAGCAGACGGTGCATCACTTGTATCCTCCAGGCGTCGGCCACCTGCTGCTGAGCCTTTGCCCCACAGGTGACCTTGGTGAAAAGGCAACTTTCCGCCCTGACCCCTCTCCAGACTGAGCCACACTGACAGCTGATGCCACTCTCTCAATGACTCCCAAAAAAAGAACACTGAATGCAGCATGCACCTAAGTTTAGGTATTTCAGTCTGGCTTGGCCACTAAGAACAACAGAACCCGTTAAACTGCTCACTCACACCACACTGATACCCATCTAGTAATTTAATATTAGTAAATCAGATTATTCAATAAATTAGCTGAGGTTACACAGGGATAAAGTAATGACCAGTAAGCTAGTCTGACATCAGAAGGGGTGAATACATCCATGGACCGGACGGGGAACTGGTTACATACAAAACAAGTGGCTAACGTTAGCCGGCTAGCTAGTTAGCACGCTAGCAAGCTGGTTAGCCTCTACACGGAGCAATAACGGCGTTCTTCTGGGTTGTGACACACAACACCAGCAGGTGTATTCGAAGTAAAAGCATAGAGTGACATTTATTGGTTAGACAGACCCCGACAAAGAGCTGGTAGCTAATTAAAACTTACTGCCAAGCTTAAGGTTCGGGCATCCCGACGAGCTGGTGCCGGAGGCCTGCGGGACCCCGGACTTTCCTGTGCTGCTCCCCACGGCAGCGGCTGATCCGGTGGACGCAGCGGCGGCTCCTGGAACACCTGGCGGCTCAGCAAACGAGCTGGTCCTGGGCCGCCCGCTGCCGCTCATATCTCTGTGCAGGGGTCAGGGTTGTTTTTTCACTATTTTCAGCCAAGCGACTATTAATTATGAAAACCCGGCAGCGAATAATCGTGGAAGACACACCGAGAAATACCGCTCCCGTTGCCGCCGGCTGTCTGGGCTGATAGCTGTTGCTAGACACCTAGAAACAGACCGCTCGCAATGCCACCTGGGAGATGAAGTTCAAGGTAGCTGTTGCTCAGGTTTGCTGCTCTGGCTTTCACAAATCAAAACAACTACAAATTTAAAATGACTTAACAGTGGATGTAGGCCAACGAAAGAGCATCAGTCAATCTATATATTTCAACAAAAATAAAAGAATAAAAAATGCTTACCACCAAGAAATATAGTGAATTTGCCCATCATCTTTTTTCTAATAATAGAGATGATTTTTTACATTATATATTAGTCTACCTAGTCCATACCACCATATAATCTTATTTTGAAACCTGCTATTAATACTCTAATTAAAACTTTAAGTGCTTGTTAAATTATAATAAAAGTAACAATAATAATGCAAATGGAAAGGTACCATGACCGATATTTGGACGGTTCAACATTGTGCTATTGTTTAAATCTTCAAATTAATTTGATTTAAATGAAGGCCTTTTTCTGTGATCTTATTCAATATAATCAGTGGCGTGATGATTTGTCTTGCTTGGGGAAAACATACCTAAGAGATCACTACTGAAGGCCTCTGGGCTTATTTGGGACTTGTATGTGAACTGGCCAACGTTGTCTCCAGCTTCTCAGTGTGGCTGCCGATATTGAAGGCTCTTTGACAAGGTCTCCTTACCTCAACCCACCTCTCACCCAATATAACCTGAATCTGAAAGGCTACTCTAATCCAATAAGCACTCTTAACACTGAGATGCTTGGTGAAGGCCAGCTGGAGAAGCACACACTCTATGTTCCAGGGATTTTGGGCCTTTCTTGGTGGGTCAAGGTTACTACATCTGTATACCTTGCTCATTAGTATACAGCTGAATTTGTAGTAACAATGTACAATGATTTTGCATTAGCTTGTCTCTTCTGTTAGGATTTTGGAGAAAGCATAGTTAAAATAGAGATTGCAACCATTCAGAAAGAAGTCTCAAAATCATTTGATTGATAAATTTGGTGAAACATTAAAAAAATACAACACACTCAAGACATTCAGGAATGTGAAATAAACTAAACGACATCCGACATTGTGTTAGATCTTTAATATTTTCAATATTTAGTTTTTTTGTTGTTGTTTAGAAATATTGCACATGGTCAACATGCCTGCTTATGAGATAACACTCACCTCGCTCATCCTAAAATTCCTTCTCCAAAGTAAGGACAGTTTATTTTTAAGCACAATCATACAGTGTACACGCATACATGTGTGTGTATGCACATATGTCTGTGTGGGTGTGTGCACGCGTGCATGTGATTGCACATGCATGCAGATGGACACTTTACAGCCCTAACCCCAAAGAGAAGTGAGTTGATAGTCTTCTATTACCTGTGTGTCATTTATATATATTTATATATTGTATATCCTGAATATATATTTGATATATATCCTGAATCAACTGGGTTTGATAACAGTCAAGATGGCAGACAAAATAGTCATGGTGACTATAAAAATACTGTCTCTAGAGTAGAATATAGAATGTAGAATACAATGAAAAATATACTATCGATAATGTTGCTGTGTGGTGAAAGAACAAGAGGTTGGTTGTGTTAACACGCTACCTGCATGTGCCAAAACATACACACACACCCAAACACAGACCTAAATGCACATATATAGAAATATCGGTATATATATTTTTTTCACACATCCAACTGTATACAGAGAAATAAAAGAGATACCCATAATAATAACTACCCCCACTCTTCACCAAGGAAGCAAAGAGCCAAAAAGTGCTATTCAAAAATTGTCTTTGACTTTTAGTAAGTTATACTCTCTATCTCTTCAACAATAACAATAATTGTGTGATTCTTTTTTGTTTTGTTTTATACCATAGTTAAAGATAGTATCACAACAGCTCATTCCTCTCACTGACTGACTGCACTGGATTTAATATCTATGGCACAGAGCCTTCCCCCAAAACAAAATAACCCACCCATTTCCAAAGAAAAAAAAAAAAAAGTCCTATTGCACCATTTGATGGGAAAGGATAAAGTGTCAAGAAGAGAGGGAAGAGGGGAGGGCTCCAGAGACTGCCCTCCAGGGCTGGTCTAGGATCTGCTTTCCCTGAACTAACCCTAACCAGAACCATCCTGAGCTACATAGCGCTTGACCCGGGACCAGTGCTTAAGGGCACTTTCTAACAACACTTGAGGAGTCGAGGGAGATGGGTGAGGAGAGGGGTAAAGAGGGGAGGAGAGGACTGGGGAGAAATGGGTTGAGAGGAGGGAAAAAGCAGGGAGGACAAGGGGGAGGAAAAGGTGGTTGATAACATACGGAACAAGGTTATTATTTTTTCTACTAAAACAATCTCTAAAAACAATACTTTCCTGATTTAACTTACGGCGGTCCCACACAAGAAGGGCCGCACAAATTGTGCAAACACCTGATTTCAACGTTTTACAAAACGACAAACGCCCCTGCTCCCCCACTTCTGTGTCTGGTGAGAAATTGTGGGAGAGGGGAGTGGGGGAGAACCACCCCAGGTACAATTAAAAGTGGGGGGCCACAGACTGATTTTGTCCCCTTCTTTGTCCAGAGTTTTTTTTTTTTGTTGTTTTTGTTTTGTTGTGATTTTTTTTTTATGCTGGAGAAGAAACACAATAGAGCCACGAGAGAGAAAAACAGGCCACGGTAAAACTGGTTATTTCCACGGCAACGATAACGAGAGAAAGCAACATCATATCCACTGGGAGATTCAGAGAAGTTTGGTTAAAATTCTACTTTTTCTCTCTGTTGTAAGCTTGTCATGTTGTTGTTTGTCCTTATTCACTATCATCACCTGTCTTTTCTATTGTTGCAATATGAATCTTCCATCCAATGAACATCATCCAGTTTCTTCTTCTGCCTTTTCTCTGTGCTCTGCTGGGAGCCGGTCAGTGTCGAACTTAACGTTGATTCTTCAAAGCCTCACAACCAATAGTCTCTTTACATAATCTCTTTATGGTGCCTGTTCACACAGGTTTCGGGGAGGGGACCCCAACAGATATACAGACATATATAATCAGCTCCCACCAATGAGGACTCAGTCTTTCAAAATGGCAATAACTGAAGGTGCAAAGATTGGTCACACTACATCCCAGCTCCTGCCTTCGTTTTGTTTTTCCAGGAGCAAATAGATTTCATGCTTTCAGTTTCTCTTCTCACTACAATCACTAAAAACTGTGCAGGCCAATGGCTTGGTCAGACCAGGGTTGACTATGTTTGTGTACGAGTGCTCACACTGCACAGATGTGTCCATGCACCGCGTGTGTTTGTGTGTGTATATGCATGTGTGTGTGTGTGTGTGTGTGTGTGTGTGTGTGTGTGTGTGTGTGTGTGTGTGTGTGTGTGTGTGTGTGTGTGTGTGTGTGGGTGTGTGTGTTCACTTGTGTGTGCTGTCTGTCTTGCAGCATCGAGGGGCTGTGGAATACCAGTGGAGGTCGTTGGGGTTGTGTTTGTGTCCCGACCACTGTGCTGAGGAGTGGAGGGGGCGAGAAGGAGGTCAAGTCAATGGCATCTGAGGGCTGGCTGGCTGGCTGGCAACAGCAAACTGCATCTGCACAATAAGTGACAAAGTGCCTTTGTGTGTCATGGTCCTTGGTGGCGGCTCCTGGGGACTGCCAACCAAGAGTAACAGTCTGATTTGGTAAGGGTGTGTGTCTGTGTGTGTGTGTGTGTGTGTGTGTGTGTTTGTGTGTGTGAGTGTATGTGAGTGTATGTGTGTGGGATCATGTGCATGCTGGAGATTACATATGCACCAGGGTTTGTGTGTGCCAGAGAGATAGAGAGTGTGTACCACAGAGTTTGTGTGTCAAACTACAAACTACTGTACAAATGTGCTGAGATCAGACCTGGGCAGAGTGTGAACTGAAGATACTCTGGATACTTGGGAAAGAAAAGGGAAAACAACACTACAAGAAGCACTTGACTCATCAGAACTTGCATTTGATTTGTCCACGTTTGAGGCTTTCTTTTGTCTGATTAGACAAATCAAGCGCACGTTGAGTAGTTTGAATATATTCAAATGTATTTCTTGCCCAGGTCTGGTGGAGATTAGTGCCAGTAGAAGAGATCCTGCTGGAGAAATCCTTAGTACTGGTTCAACACATACAAGAACATTCTGCGGGGATGACACACTCCCCTCTCTCGTCTTCTTCTTCTCCTTGATTTTTTCCGCTTTGTCATCCTCTCCAGCTTATGATCCTTCACTTTTCGGCCCCTCTGGGCTCCGGCCTTTGTCTCCTTGTTGCTCCGCCCCTCCGTCCTCCCGGGCTGATTGATTGAAAGAGGAGCTGTGGGATGGGGCAGGGTTGATTTCAGCTGACCCCCCGGGCTCGAGGGCTCCGGGCGTGGCCGTCTGCATGATCTTCTGCCGGACCTCGCGGATCTTCAGCTGCAGACACACCTTGGTGGGGAACGTGTCTGAGAAGCGAGCCTGGAAGGCAGCAGTCGCCTGAGCTGGAGAGGATGAGAGGAACATAAGGAAGAATGAAAATAGGGAAGAGGAAGAGGAATTTAAACTGTATGATTTCAGGTATTACCACATATCCTGTATGACATTCTTTCAGAGGATAACAAAGCTGCAATAGCTACAGATTGATTTTTTTGTTAAATATATTTTTGATTCAATGATTAATTTGTTGCTCAGTTTAACAATTACAAAGCCAAAGAATGAATTACAACCGAAATAAAACCTAAAATAAACTGAGGAGAAAGACAAGGAAGGAAAGGCAACAAAGAACTTATATAATTACACTCTGTTACCCTAACCCACCCAAATTCCCTGCATATTTTGTACAACACTGTGAACTATTACAAAGGTGTAAGAGACTTTGTTTCTTAACCCTCTGGAGTCACAGTTACATAATTTTATATATCATCTAGAGACAAGCTGAGGAAATTAGATGAAAGTGCTGATGTGGGACTTTCGCACACGATCACAGTCTGAATAAAAGCCTTTACATGTAAATAGACTGTGTTATAGTTTCATTTCTTACATATTTCTGCTATATTAGTGTGTACAAATAACAAAACTATAGTTTTTACAACTTTGATCTTTTCTATAATAATATTTCGATTGATTATGACTAAAGATATGAACATTATATTTTACATATCTTGGGTGCCTATAGCGGTTTATAATTTGTCAGATACAATGCACGTGGGCTAGAGACAGGAATTAATGCATAAAAAAGGGTTAAAGTAAAATAAATCTTTTCTAAATGTTGGGGCAGCTGTTTTCTTCTAAAGTTTGTCTCAGTTTGTCTAGTTTTTCCTATAACATCTTGTTCTATCTACAGGTGATTTACCTGATGGAAAGAAGCCATGTTCCTGAAACAGCTGCATGACCAGAGCCCGCCGCTGGTCCAGAGTTCTGCGCAGAGACGAGTAGGGGACTCGGTCCAAGTCTCCTAAGAGATCCTCTCCTTCTGTGCCTGGTTGGAAAAAAAAACAGAGCACCATAGCAGTGTGAGTAAACCTTTGCGGAGCTGTTCTGCAGCTGCTGCACCTGATGTACCTGTCTTACCTGCTCTGTCGAAGGTGAAGATGTCTCCCTCACACTTGGCGGCGCTCTTCGGAGTGTTTGGCTCCGAACTGCAGCTGGACAGACGTCGAGTCTTCCTCCTCGGGGAGCTGGGGTCCTCTGCTGTCAGCTCCAGCTCTAGACACATGATGTGTGAAGGACACAGAAAGGGAATAAAGAAGGAAAGGAAAGAAAGAGTGTGAAGAGAAAAAAGGACATGCAGTGAGAAAGGAGGGGAGATTTGAACAGGACAGTGGGGTTATCAGGATTGAGGAGGAAGAGTAAAAGAAGAAAAGGAATCAGAATAGGTCAGGGTTAATAAAACAGTGAAGAATGGAGGTAAAAAAAAGCAGGTAGAAAATGTATAAACAGAATGAAATAAGATATCCAAATAAAAAAACAGATTGCTCTATTAAAAATTGAATTTACTTTTATTGCATTTTAGGTATTTCTTTGGATCAAAGTGAGTCATGTTCTCTCTGTGCAGTATCTCACCGGTGGAGTTGCGCCTCTTCTTGCGGTAGCTCCCCAGGATGGCTCTTGGCGAGGTGGCCAGACTCTGCAGGGTGGGCGAGGGGAGGACCTCCTCCGGATTAAACTCTGGAAGCTCAGCAAAACGCTCCTCGAAGTATGTCTCAGACAAGACCCTGCACGCAGAAAAACACAGCGGTCACATCAGTCCCCTGTTCAGTGATGCGCTGGTTAAAATATCAAGGGAATGCCTCTGAATGTATTCTCATTTCTCATGCCTTCAGGCTGAGCTCTGCCAGGGCTTTCTCTTCTCTGTGGCTTCCCCACCACTCTCCAACCGTCTAAATAAAGAATATAAAGGTTGAGCTCTCCGCCCACTCACATTCAGTAAACAAAGAATTTCCACCATGATTTTTATGAAGTTGGAGATTTGCACACAAACTAAAAATGGAACAAGATCCCACTGTGTGTGAAGGACCAGGGCTGTATCTCATTGTCAAGCTGCTTCACGCCATAATTAGAGATGATAAACTACTATTGTATGACAAAATGTAAACTGTTAAAATAGAGAGAACATTGTCTTACAGTGACCAGAAGCCACAGGTACATGACAGACTTTCATTTTGCTTTAGCACTGATTCTATAAGAGACATAAATCTGATCACAGAGAGTGGCTCTGGACTTTAATAAAATTCTCAGTTATGGGTACTTTGATACCTTTCCTACCCATTTCATGTCATTTAACAGTTTCTGAAACTGTGAGGTCAAACCCGCCAAGATATGTTTGATTATTTAAATTATGCAAGAGCTAATGTTCCCTCAGCTGATGATTTTTTTCCCTCTTCGAGCTGTTATCGTCCCACTTACTTGTCAAGCGAGTCGGGTGTCTTTTTGAGCGGTGGGGGTCGAAACTTGGTCTTCTTTGAGGAAGAGGGGGGCTCTCTTTCTGCAGGGGGAGGGGGAGGAGGGTCCAAACCTGAGGGGGGTGGAAGAGGGGAACGAGGTCCAGCCTGAGGAGAGAAGGTGAGGGTTGAGACTAATAGGATAAAACACTCATCTAATGTACTTCTTAACCTTTCCATGACTTTGTGAAGCTGACGTCAGAGCAACAGGACGTCTGTTAACATTTTTATTTCTGAAGAGCTCTTGGATGATTAACTAATGTGTGTATCATGATTCTAAACACAGCAAACCAGACTGGGACCACCTGATGCAAGCAATAAATGTGTGGAACAAGCTTGAAAACACAATCTGGTATATTCCTGTAAAGCCATACGTTTGTAAAATTCACAGATTCTTCCTGACTTTCTTTGAGAAGTTGTGAAATTCCCTTTTTTTTTTTCCTGTGCACGATATCACTGACGTTCTATGGCCACAGCCAACTTAGTAAGAACTTTCAGTTTCTCAAAGGTAAAAAAAAAAAGTCTGACCTAAAACTCTTAGAATAGATGTCTAAAGACCATTAACCAAAGCTTCAAGAAATGTGGGGTGTGATGAGAGGAACCACTGGAGTGGGGCAGATATCCAGCTTTTCTCACCTCTTTGCAGCCGTCGCCCATGCTGTGGTCCTCTCTGTCTGCCTCTCTGCCTCTCTTCTTCTCACTGCTCTCCCTCATCCCTCTCTCACGCTCTGTGTCGGTCTCACTTCGTTTCTCCCTGCTGTGTCCATCTCGCACATTTTCCTCTTTGATGTACAGGCCGATGATGTCCTCCTCTTTTTTTACTAGAACGGATAAAGATAATGTCAGACTTTGTTAGAGAAATACTAAATATCAAACCTTATTTATGTCATTCACTGACCTGGAGAAGGTTACTGATACATTCAGCCCATCACCTCTTGACTACTGCAACTCCCTATATACACGTCTCTCCCAAAAATCTCTTTGCTCATTAAAACTCATACAAAATGCTGTAGGTAGAGTCCTAACTGGTGATCATATTACACCAATTTTAGCCTCCTTACATTGGCTACCTGTGTCTTTTAGGATTGATTTTAAAATACTTTTAATTAGTTTTAAGGCTCTGTCTGATTTGGCACCTTCTTACATCTCAGAACTGCTCTCCCCTTATAACCAGATGTGCTGCCTGAGATCCTCGGGCAGAACTCTGTTATCTGTCCCAAAGTCTCGCTAAAAACAAAGGTGACTGTGCATTTGCTGTTAGAGCCCTCAGGCTTTGGAGTGTCCTGTCCGAGGAGATGAGGCCCCAGTTTAAAACGCTACTCAAATCACACTTGCATAAAGCAGCTTTTAATTCTTGATTTAAATGCTTTTATCTTTGGTTTTTTGCTTTTGGTGCTCATTTTTGGTTTTCTTTTCTTTTCTCTGCTCCATTGGTCTCATTGTTTTAACACACGTATTTGTAATTCTCTGTTACACTTGCTTTGCTAATTTACATGTTGCCTTTCTTCTCTGTCTTTTATTTTTTTGTTATTATTTATGTTTTTATGTTTGTACAGCACTTTTTAACTCTGTTTTGAAATGTGTTAAATAAAGTTACTATGATTATGATTATTATTTATCTCACTTTAAACATTCAACACTGCAACTTTCCACTAGCTTTGCAGCATCAGCCTTAATCCTACAGGTTCAGTTTCACTACAAGATGTTAATCTGGAAAACCAGGCTGATTCTGAAACAACAAGTCTCCTTTTTATGCCTCAAGTACAGAGAGAAACCAGGAGAGAACTTGTCAATCACCAGTTTAGAAGTTTTATTTATAAAGTGTACTTTATTGCACCCCATCATCTCTGTAATTAGATGGGATGAGTGTCATGAAACGAAGACTTTTGAGGCTCGACATGAGACTAGATGATTCGTTGGGATAAAAAAAAAAAACTCTTAAAAATAAAACCAGGTGAAACCACAGGAAAATTACCTGTTGCAGAATTGCTCATACAGTTGGCCAATGACACCCCCTGCCCTCCATCCTCAGTCTGAGCATCCAGCTGACTGTCCCTCTCCCTCTTCACCTCCACCTTCGGCTCCACCTCCGCTCCCACGCTGGGCTGAAGGGTCACTACCGCTGAACCCTGCAGCCCCGTCGCCAGCGGAGAGGAGGGGTTTATGACGTCTTGGGCCGAAGCTCCTACTGCAGGCGGTACGGTCGTCACAGAGACCATGCCGGTAGGCAGCCCAACAGTCGGTGCAGGGTAGATGGCAGTTAGTACCTGATGAAGAGGATTGTAAAATATGAACATCATTAAACGGTCAAAGCTTTCCTGGCTCCACCTGTGCTTGTTTTGAGGAGCAAGATAAAGAAGGATAAAAGGTGACAACAGCCCTGACAGCAGGGAACATGTCCTGAGATGGTAGGCGCCATGAGAGCATTTATATTACAATTTTATTACACTAAGCAAACAAACCTGTGTGCTGTAAATCAACCCGGCAGGTTTATGACTTGGTAGACAATATGTAAAATGCAGCACAGAGGCCAGGAAAGGGTGCCAATGTTCTCATTTATTTGTTTACAGTAATTTCCCTAACGTCTCAGGACTAATGTAGTGATGACTTATTGATACCAGATTGATACGTCTAACACCTTTAATCCCTCTGCCTCCGGGGCTATGTTTGCTCCTGCCTTTCCCGAGCAAATACAATTGCTTTTTTAGTGTGCAGATTTTATTGCAACAGACTTTTGAGGAGGTTTAATTAATTCATACACCACTGGTAAAAAACAGACAGTTTATGAAATCAGGCATCATTACATCTGCAGTATGTGTATTGAAAAGAAAAACTCATCCAAAACTGAAAACTAAAAAAACTTTTAATGTCGATTAAATTTCTTAAACACCATTCATTTCTTTTGACATTTCAGTTTTCTAATTTCCTTACTGACCACACACACACATTGCAGTTTTAACACTGTACAGCCCTTTGTTCCTCTTTACCTGACGACCAGCAGTCGCCGCGGCCTGGCCAGGGGGAGTCTGTGATTGACAGCTCAGGGGCGGGGCTGGAGCCAGCAGAGGCGATTGACCGACAATTGGCTGTACCAGGGTTTGCCCGCCCGGAGCGATGGCGGTGAATCCCAGAGTGGCCAGAGGTGATGGGAGATACGCTGGGCCTGGAGCGGGTGTGGCCTGTTGGGGCGTCGCTGTGGTAACTCCTGGACAGGACTGGACATAAGTGATCCTGCAGAAGAGAAGAAGAGAAATATCGTTAAATATTAGACATCAAAAAATAAGGATCCAAGCAGCTTGCAAAGTTTTACACAGCAACACAGATACAACACAAATACAAAACGACTGCTCGCATCAGATGAACTACAGATGCTTGCCAAATGCATTTGTCTTTTTAGTTGTGTATTTTGTATTTGTGTATTGTGACTTGCAATTTTGTTTGTTTTATCTTACCTAGGGACTACAGATGTAAATTAGCATTTTTGCTACAATCCAACATGTTTACATTAGGTATTTTGTGCTGATGTTCATTAACATGCATTGTCCCTAGCAAGTAAACAAATAAACAAACAACAAATAAATAAATATGCAAAGTTTAAAAAAAAAACTAGGGCAGTAACCACTGATTATTTTCTTTATCGATTATTCTGCCAATAACTTTCTTGTTAAATCGACGTTAATAGTGTTAGAAAATAACACCATCACAATCCTCTATAGCTAAGCTGACTTGAAATTGCTTGTTTTGTCTCATCAACAGTGCAAAAGATATTTGGTAAGAATAATAAGAGTAAATAACTTTTTTTTTTTTTGCATTTTTGCTTAAACAAACAATTTTAGAAAGTGTTATAATGTAAATATGTAATAAACAAATACATGATGCAACTCAGCGCTTAAAGAAAACCACCTAATTTTCACTTTTAATGTGTCCAATCAACACTATATTTTCTTTTATATTTTCTTTTATCGCTTTCTAAAGTTGGGAAACTTGAAAAAAAAAAAAAAAACATTTAAAGTTTTTACAGTAAGTATCATAGTTCACATCCCTCCAGCTGAGGATACAGTATTAAAGTGTGCCCTGAGTGTTGAATTTCTTTATGTACACTTACAGCACATCAAGTACAGTTAAGCTAATGACCTGGCTCAAATTGAAATCTGACGCTGTTGAACAGAGGAGCCTCTCTGACCAGCTGCAGCAGCTTGTGAGGAAAATAATAAGTGGGTATATATGTTTCTATGTTGCTGTGCTTAGGCCTGTGCTAGTGACCTGGTGGGTGGGGAGGTCAGAAGAACAGTCTGCGGGGGCGCAGCACCAGGAGCCATCACCGTTGCCACGGAAACAGGAAAGGGGCTCCCAGGATGTACTGTTGCTGCACCGCTAGGGTGAACGTTGGTCTGGACCACAGGCATGGGAGCGATCTGGATGATCTGTTGAGAGGAAAACACATAAAGAAAAGGATTCTTCTCAGCTTTTTCAGAGAACACATCTGATATTTCATCATTTATTTGTTATGTATCCAGAGAGACAAACTAAATATCAGACGTGGTTTTATGCTCCTCAGAACAATTCTAGCACTTTGTTAAAGCAAGTGGTGCCTTCAGAATAAAACTCCACACAGCCGTTGCCATGGGCACCTGGTTATGTTTTAAAATGGTGGAGCCAACTTGGAAAAATACATAATTGGCAGGGGGGATGGGGTCCACCTTTAGAAAAACATATTTCCTGCTCTTCTACACCACCTAACCTAAAATAACCACCTGCACTAGTTTAGATTAGTTGGACTGAGGTGCTATGAACACCAAGGATGTGAGTATTATAAGAATTTCATATTTGAAGTTATATTTATAAAAACATTATGTAGGCTAAAACAGCTGTCTTCACGGTCAAACAAAGACAAACAGTTTCTATAAATGAAACATGGATAATTAAACCTGGTTAGACATGTTAAATCTTCAAACACATGCATCAAAGTACAAACAATCTGGATGAATGAAACGGCCTCACAACAACTAGCTAATCCCACCAGTTTATTTTACACACAGGCTCTAGTGTGAGCTGTTCTCATAACTTCACTAGCTGGTGTAGTTGTTATGTTACACAGGAATGTATAATCATAACTTCAACCTACATTGCCTCAAATCAAGATCATGCACAACTCAGAAGGCGACTTTTGCCCCTCAAGAGGGTCATTTCAGTCAAGGACTAGACCTGACTGTGAAACCACCCCTGAGAGCTAAATGAAAGGAGTGATCATTACACAACGTGATATATTTCATATCTAAAAATAATTCAAAGCCTGAAACTAAAACTGAAACTAAGACAAAGTACAGTTTAAAGACGTTCCACTGCTGAACATCTGTTTGTTCATTCAGACTCTAATTGATCCAAAAATGGGTGATTTTTTTATTACTTGTTTTACTTATTACTAGCTGCTAAAAATAGTAAAATAATCATTAATATGACCTGCTTCAATATAATCACATGAACATGGGGACTGTATGATGATAAGTTCATTGTTAAAAACAAAAAAGTGGCATAAGAAGCCCACTTAATTGAATAACGGGGATACACTTGCTCCACTGCTCAGACACCTATGGCAGTTGTATCAAATGATTATTATCATTAATTTATTTATTTTGGACACTTTTAACTCTTTATTACAGTCCAAAACCCATAAGTATAAAATTTACAGTCAGATCCTGATGTTTGAGAAGTTTGACATTTATTTTTTAAATAAATGACTTAATCACTCAATTTTCAATAAATTTTCTGTCCCATTAATTTGATTATTTTTTCAGCACTACACAGTTTCCATCAGTGTTTTAAGGTAGTTTTCTAAACTCAAAGAGTGAGACTACTACTTTATTGTTTCCTACTTTGTTCATTTCTACAAGAGCATGTGTCATCTTCATCTAGTGTTAAAGCTGCTAATGATGTCATGTAGACTTCTTTCTTATCACCTGTCAGCGACTGTTATCCTTGACACTGTCGACATCTTGCTTTAGTTTTCTTGTTAACATCCATACCTTGTTTCCTGTTGCAGGTCCGTTCTGCACAGGAAGAGGCGGAGCCACCAGGGAAATGGAAGGATGAGGAGGAGTAGACCCTGTTCTCACTGTTGCCATGGGAACCAACATCTTGCTCTGCAAGACCGGCGACTGGGTTTGGACTAATGAGTGAGAAGGAGATAGATAGATAGAGAGAGAGAGAGAGAGAGAGAGAGAGAGAGAGAGAGAGAGAGAGAGAATTAAATCACTCAGCGTGAGGAACAGATGAATCGAGCCATAAGAGGAGAGGTGAAGACAGCAAAGGAGCGACGGGTGGGTGGAGACACACTGAGACGGAGAGGACATTTCAGCTGGTGATAGTGAAGTGAAATTCCTCGCGGATAACAAGGTGGAACAATGTTCTGTTGCTTCTGACTGTTGTGAATACAGAGCAATTGAGGGATGGGTGGGTGGCAGGCGCTCATATTCATGTCACTAGCGTTTCTGCTGTCAATCATTTATCTCTCATTTATGTAAGCCAATCAAATCTATTTTCAGTGCTTCCTGTGAAGATGATTAACAAGAAACAAGTGAAGGGAACTACGGCAAAAAGAAAAATGAAACAGAATTTTTTCAGTTTTCAGTGGACCAGTGAAAACACTAAGAATCTAAGAAAATCTGACTTGTTCTGCTTTGTCAGCCAATCATTATTCTCTGTCTCACCTCTGGTCCCGGGGCTGACTCTGATTCCCGCCCCCGAGTGTACGCCATTGGCCAGGGCGGCATTGGCGGGCAGGGAGAGGATTTGCTGGTGGGTGAGTTGAGGGGAGGAGGGGTTCTCGGTGGGCAGGATGTACTGGACCTGCGTTAGCGGCTTGGAGCCGGAGGGAGGTGTGAGAGAGGAGATGGCGGCAGTGGGGTGGAGCTGGGGCTGGAGGACGGGGAGGGGGGTCTGTGTGTGCGGCTGTGGGGGTTGCGGGGTGAGGAGCTGCACTGGTTGGGCAGCAGGATAGGACCCTCCCAGAACTAGGCTAGTGACCAGGCTGCTGCCCCCCACCGGGGTTACACTCACTGGACCAGGAGAGGAGGATGAGGACAGGTACCCACCCCCTGCGGTGATTGGCAGCTGCTGAGATCCGCCTCCTCCAATCAGGAGTGTGGCTTTCTTGTCCTGGGGGTGTGAGCTGAGGGTGACGGCTCCTTCCACTGGCTTGCTGGCGATGGGGATGGGTGTGCTGGCGATGGGTCGTACCACGTTGGTCACCATAGTGGGAGCCATGCGGACGCCGCCGAGGACCTGGGTCAGACCCTGCTGGGCCAGAGTGAGGGGAACCTGGGAGCTGGAAGTTGAGCCTGTGATGGACAGAGAGGAGACACCCTGCCCACCTCCACCACCTCCTTCTCCTCCACCTGCTGCTGTCTCTTCTCTCTTGGGTCCTCCCTCGCTGCCCTCCTCTCCTCCGTCTGTGCCTCTCTTTCTCTTTCTTTCAGACCCATCTTCAGCACCTCCGCCTCCTCCTTCTCCTGCTCCATTCCCTTTAGATGAGGTGGAGTCAGACGGAGGGATGGAGGGAGAGGAGGAGGGGAGAGAGGAGCGGGCCACTGGCTGGAAGCCATGCTGGAGGGAAGAGAGAGATGAAGAGGGGGAGAGATCAAAGCCGGGAAAGTTACTATGTAAAGTTCTTCTCTTTCTCAACTTAAAGTAACTTTAATTCTTGATGATCTGATGCCTCACATACTGAGAGCTGCAGGAGTGCGTCCTAAAACCTGGAAATTACTTAGCATTTTAACACTTCCAGTTCCCTTGTCCCCAATTCAATGGATTTTTTGAGTTTTTGGTTAGACTGAAATAATTTCTGTGGTTAACACAAGCTCAAAACATTTTCATTTTTATTCTACAACTTAAAATACGTCAGTTAATACCCAACCTGTGGTTTCTTGAAGCTTTTATGCGAGTGAAAGGCAGATTACTAAAAAAGTCTCTAAATGAGACTGCAGAGTTTGTCGGGGATGTTAAACGTCATCACGTGGAACATGAAAGGAAAGGAAAGGCTTTTGTAGAAGAAGAAACTACAAGTTGGAGGTTTAGTGGTGGTGTCGCTGAAGTCATGTGACTGTGGTGTAGTTGGTTTATAGCCTAACATAAGCTTTTTATTTCAAGCCATTGCATTCAGGCTTCAAAAAGTTTATTTGTGAAGATTATCCTGCTGAACAAAATGTGTCAGTATCATAAACTTGTGTTTGTCACAGAGTTTATTTCTTGAATTTCCTCTACGTGGAATCAATAAACGTACATCTTATGTTATCTTATCTTATCTTAGCTGCAATAATCCAAAAGCCAATGGAAAAATCTCATTGGCTTTTTGTCGAAGAAACCAGGGTGATGCTATCATCTGGGTTCGACTACAAAAATATGTAATCCCTGCAGCTGTCTATGGAACCACACTGATGAGACAAAAATTGACTAAGCTAAAAACTAAGCAATAAGTCTTAGCTATTACTATTATTTATTAATATCTTTATTGTCTGTCTGATGAAGAATATTCAGTTTTATTATCATTATCTACAGCATGGAAAAGAACAGATACTGAATTGTATTCTTTCCATTAACATCTCCTTTATACATAAGCAGCACAGTTTAGGGGGAAGGGAGTGGTTGCCCATGAAAAGCCATCTTAAATTTTGTATTTAGACCATATCAACAAATTATTAATTTTAAGTTATTTGATAATCAATGCGCCTACCTGTCCATCCGGTTCGTCCTCATCACTGTCCGTCACTCTCTCTTTACACTTGAGGTCGATGGAACCCTCTGGACATGAATCCTCTGACGGGACAAAGATATCAGAAGAATATTCTTACACATTTTAAGCAAAGTGGAAAAAATACACTTCTAACTGCTTCCTATAAGGGATGTCATTTGCACAGTGATGATTTCTGAACAAAAATTAGCCATCAAATAACCAATTATGTTCTATTGTTGCATGTGCTACTCGCAATTAGTAGTCTGGGGCTGGGGCTCTCCAGATGACACAGCAACTTTTTTTTTTTTTTTAGCTTTCAGGCGTTTCGCTGACACCATCATTCTGACTAAGAAGGCTGAAGTTGAGTGTGGTTTTCAAAAACACACTGACCGTTTTGGGAACTGAAACTATCACTCTGCGGTTATGAAACAGTCACTCTAAACCTTTCTGCTGATTATCCAACTCACCCATGACATCATCGTCCCCCTCTTCCTCACAGATGACCATGCGCTCTTCATCACTGGTCATGTCCTCGCTGGCCCCGCCCTGGTACAGGGACTGAGGCGGGGGCCGGCTACGAAACAAACTCGCCCCCTCCTCCTAAAGAGAGAGATAGCATAGGAAATCTTTAGTCTCATTACAATTACAGAGATTCTGAAAAATATATTCATGTAGCTGATGCAGAGAAAATATTTTCTTCAAAGTACTGATTATTAACTCAGAACTAAAAAGAAAAACCTGGAGTACTTAAGAAAAACACATCAGACAGAGGTAATATAGCCATTATCAAAGCATGCATACATATACGTTTTTGCCGCCAGCATGAAATGCCTTCAAACAAAAGAGCTCACATGCAGGCAGACTCCTTTGTGATTAGGAGCGAAGCAGCAAACACCACAGTTTCATACCTTCAAAGGCACTAAAAAAGTAGCGAGTGAAACCTTTGAAGTTGGAGGCTGAGCTCCCCCAGAGGTTTCAGTGGGTTTTCAACAGCAACAACTCGAGCCCTCACACAAAGATCCAAGCGAGTCCATTTGAACTGTTTTTGAACAGCGTGCTTTCAGTTGTAGAGCTCAAACCAATAATGCTCTGTAGTGTGAAGGACTCACGTCTGCTGCAGAATACACACTCGCATCGACACACATGTTGGTATGTAGGCGTTCGTATACACATGAGCATTGGCCCTGTTTTTTTTTAAAGTATTACTTCAGTCTGTTTCTTTTATTGTCTGTATTTTTGTTTGTTTTACTTTTTTCTTTGTTTCACTTTGCTGTAAGAAACCTAAAAAATACTGAAATCTTTAACTGTGAGGTCACAGTGATCCTGATCTATTAAATTGATTCATATGGCTGTTTTTCTTAAGTAAGTAACCAGTTTGTGGAGCTAGTGATCTGGAACAGTTTGCTTCACAGTCTTTAATCTCCTGAGTCTGTTTGCTGCCTTTGAGCTACAGATTAACAACCTCATACCTTCTCCAGGTCTCTCTCTCTCTCCCTCTGCTCCAGAGTGTGCACGGCACTCTGGGAAAAGGCTCTGGGGCGGGGTTGCTGCCCTACAAACAGCCCCCCTCGACGCTCCGATCCCCCTGGCCAGCCCGAGCCTCCTCCCTTCTCTTCCACCGTCTGGGACTCTGACAGAGGATCTGCAGAGGAGAGGGGATGAAAATAACACAGTCTATCGTGTTGGAGTGGATCAGTAAAACTTAGACTCATAAAGTCCTTGCCAACACTTGTTAATAATGTGTGTAAATGCATCAGCAAAATGGCTGCCACATGTAATAAAATTAGAGTAATATCTTTATGATTATGCTAAAATTATTTCGGGTCATCGCAGGAGACTGAAATAATTTACTGATCTAGTTTATTCTCCTAAAAGGCATTTTGCACATTAGCTTGGAAATGCTAATTGATGCTAATCAACACACACACCTATGCTCTCTGACATGCTCCTCTCTCGCGCCTCCTTTGGCGTCCCGCGGCCCTCTGACAGCGACTTTCTGCGGTCCTTGTTGCACCACTTCCAGTCCGGATGGGCTCTGAAGTGGGCCTCCTTCACCTGGAGGAGGAGGAGGAGGAGGAGGAGGAGGAGACAAAATCCTTTTCTAGTTTCTGTTTCTGTTTGAGTTTCTGTAGCTCCACGCTGCCTTTCACTGCTCATTAAAACTACACCGTTTTTATTTTAATCTCCTATCTCCAGACACCCTGCAACTGCCGTTCCTTAGTCTGTTAAATGCATCAGATCCTGTGCAACAAAAGGTCTGCAAATGAAAGGAGCCTTTATACTCTGGCTGAAGAATATTCACTCTACATTTCTTCACATGATATTGGAGCCTTACAGATATTTCCATGACCCAGTTTAACCCTGACAATCCAATAACAAATTGTAGAAATTAAAGAAAATAAGAACCAGTTAAAGAATTGTGTCTCAACCTGGAAGGCCAGATCGTGGTACTGCTGCTTCTCATTGGGCCCCAGGGCGTACCACCACTCCCCCAGGATCTTGCTGACTGTCCGGTTGTCCTGGTTGGGATGTCGCTGGTGCACCAGGGCCCGGTGGCGTTTACTGAAGATCATGAATGCGTTCATTGGACGGCGGATGTGGTCCTTCTCCCTCTGGTTGGGGTTTGGAAGACATTCATGGTAAGCTGTTAATAACAACCTTCCTCTGTACCTCTGACCTTATTGACCACTTGTCTGCATGGTGGACTAACCTTCCTGTCTCCGTCCTTGGGCAGGGCGCTGAGGGACTGTGTGCGTCTCTTCATGGGGCCAGTGGAGGGTGTTGGATCGTTGGCCACACCTGGGGAGAACCTGGATTCACACAGAGAGGAAAAGTGAAACAGTGAATCCATGAGAGATGGGAAAAGAGTGGACATTCCTTTCTCTGATAAACTTTCAGGAAAGCAACAAAGCTTAGACTTAGAGAGGAATTCAAGACACAGTAGTCCTCATTTATTAAGATCCTAAGTGTGGGGTCTACTCTTGATTTGACCTAACTATGTTTTTCTGATGTTTTTAAAGTAGTTCACACCTGTATGTGACCTGTATGACATGTTTTACTGTATGACCCCCCCCCCCCAAAAAATCTGCCTTTGAAGTTTAGTTGACCTGCAGACAGCGCTGAGATCACATATCAATCAAACAGAACTATGCTTTTCCTTACTTCCTTTTATTTACAGAGTACATTAAAAAAATAGAATTACCACCTTGCAGACGTACGCCTCCACCAACCAGTCAAGTTACAGGAAATATGGTGACAATGTCTCCCTCTGTTCCTGAGTTATATGTTGAATAGAATAATGGCCAGAAATGTGTTTATTTTGTGTTTATGATGTCACAGTGAAGTTGACCTTTGACCTTTTGTACATAAAATATCATCCATTCATCGTTTTATTCTATCAGACGTGTGTGAAATTTTGTAATAATTAACGTGTAAATTCTTGAGTTTTGTGAGGTCAAAGCGACCTTGACCTTTGGGTGACTGTTTGTGTCAGATGTAATGAAATCATCTCTGGGTGTTCTTGATATATTTGGGGTTCACAAGAACATGAGATCACCATGACATTGGCCTTTAACCTCCAAAATCTAATGAGTTCATCCTTCCTTCAAGGTGTTACTGAGATATCACTTTCATGAGAATGGGATGGACAACCCATTGAAAAATCCTGTCACCAGCTGGGTTACATTTGGAATACTATTGTGTTACAGCAGTTGGAGAAACAGAGTAAAATAGACAGTTTGTGTGCACATTTTTATACTTATTATTTCATAACACCACAGTTTACGATGATACCTGCCTGACTCCAATCAAGTGTCACACATTGTCCTGCACCTCTTTAGGCCAGATGTGCCGTATTACTAAAATGTCGGGATGCTGCCCCGCCCACTCCCACTCATTGGCTTATTTCCTCCCTTTTTTTGTCTTTCTGTTGATCTCTGTCAGTAATACAGTCGGTAAAAGTTTATCAGTTTCTAAACATCCCTTCTTTTACTTATTCATTTTTTCCTTGCTTTCTTTGCAAGGCTTGAAGATGGGGCTGTTGGGTGAGGGATGATGGGAACAAGATTGCATGTTATGCTTTGTAAAACTGACTTATATATTGTGCACCCTACAAATAATAATATCTTCTATTGTTATATTATTTCATTTTTTTTTAATAAAATGACAAAAATTAAAATAACAAAATGTGTTTATATTTGTGTAAATGTATTTAATATGAACATATTGGCTGTGCACCAGACAGTTTTGTTTGGTTCATTTTTTAAAATTCAAAAAAATTATAAAACTGCAGTTTATATCAGTGAGGACACTTGCAGAGAGGTAAAAAGAGAAGATGAATAATAAAACATAAATCAAGAGAGATACTGAGAAAAGAGAGAGGGTCAACAAGACAAGCCAGTACCTGCCAGGCATAATGATCAGCCAATCAGCACTAACGAACAGCGCCTCTGACCAGACTGTTTTGTGCAGGCACACCATGGGCTTTTCAAAGACAGTGATGGAGCAGTCAATGGTTTATAAACCTGAGTTAAAGTTTTCTTGCTTACCACAACAAGAAAAGTGCCATGGTTTTCAGTACCATCCTGTCAGTCATTCAGTCCAGTTGTTTGTACATTCATGTTTTAAATCTGCTGTCAGTTCAGACCCTGACATTCCTTCCCGTTGATTCACCCGACCTGCTCCTCCTGCCCACTCACCTGCTCACCTGTTCTCCCTAGTATATACACCAGTCCATTTCCACTTCCTGTCTGGCAGATTGTCTTTGTGCCATACGTCTTAGCTTTCCATCGCTCTGTTCTCCGCTTTGTTTCAATCCTGATCGTCTTTTGGACCTTGTCTGTGTTTTTTGGATTTTGCCTCAGCCCTTTCCTACTTTGTTTGCCTGCTTGGATTTTTGTATCCTTGTTTTATTTTTCTCTCTAAGTAAAGACTCTTTACTTATATATCTTCCTCCTGAGTCATGCTCTCGGGTCCCTTTTCTGAAAACCGTGACAAAAAGTCTTTTGAAACTGTGAGCCTGCAGACACAGAGTCTGAACCTCTCTGCTGTTGGAGACTGACCTCAGTGTCAAGCTGTGACTACATGAATATCGTGTTTTTTTTTTTTTTTTTGCTTTACTGTCTAGTTCTGCTAAAGATTTTTTTATTATATACAGCAAACACATGACAAAGAAAAGATTTAATTAAAAAAAGGGCAAAGGAGTAACACACACACGCACGTACACACACACACACACACACACACACACACACACACACACACACACACACACACACACACACACACACACACACACACACACACAGCGTCCATGAAGATGGAAATTAAGACAAGAGAAAAGAGACTATAGCGTCACAATCACCAGACGAGCAGAAGTTGTCAGGGAGACTGGAGCTACGTGAGAGTTTGGTTGGGGTAAGATCAGATGTGCTATTTGTGCGCATGTTTATAGGCGTATGTGTGAACATGGTCGTTTCAGTTTGTCAGGTTGTGTGTGTCGAAGAAGTGACACAGACTGAGAACAGACAGATGAGAGTGGGCAGATAAAAAACTCAAATTTAAAAATGTTTATATTATACTTTTTTTTTTTTTACATTCATATGTGTCTGTTTGCAGGCGTACACTGGGGGTGTACAGACAGGGGGGTAACAGAGATAATAAATAAGGCTGAAATCTTGTTAAATTCGTGGACTTTGTTTCTAACGCCATTAGTCTGTCCATTGAGATGCAGGCAGATAACAGGTGTTACCACTGCAACATTAAGAGACTGCTGAAGCATTTCTCTCGGCGATGGCGGCCTTTGTGAGCACAGTGACCCTGAAACATTCAAAACCACACTACAAGCCAGACAGCCACGCAGCCCGTCTGAGTCACTCTGAAAGAGCAATAACCCAGCCAGACGCAGAGACACAGCCTGAGACTGAGAGTGGAATGAGCAAGCACAGACTGTACAACTCTTGCCAGACTCACACACACACACACACACACACACACACACTGATGCAGTTAGTAGAAAAGTTGTTTGTTTTTGTTTGTTTCTTGTGAATTTCTATTGTCAGCGGTGGATTTCAGGGAACCTGCTCTAAGTGTTTGTGTCCTTGACAGTTTTAAAGCTGGTGATTTTAATTACAGCAACAAACTGTGTCTAATATCTGCAGTTACTATCTGCTTTCTACTGACTGACACCGAGAGATGCAGAAAGGAAACAAACACAAATGTATGAGGAGTTTGAGTAAAAGTGGCACCAAAACAAGTTACTGTTACAAGTTGATACTTTTCAAAGCACAGAAGGTTATCTGACAATACGTTTGTTTTATTGCTTCTTCATATTCATCTTAGAGATTATTTTCCAAAAAGGATGCATATCATTTTGGAGGAAAACAAGTCTTTAGAATAAAATACCACAAGCAGTAAATGAGGAGAAAGCAAAGAACAAATCAGGAATAACTGAGTGACATCTCACTCCAATAAGTCACTGAGTTTATATGTGAATAATAGAAACATATAAATTATCACCTTTTGTGTCAATAAAACCTAAACTACATCCTGTGCCACATCATCTGAATTTGAATTCAATCTTTTGTTTGAGCTTCTTCTTCTCTTTATTCGCTTTGCCATCTGTAACCACAGCTGGACTTTGACAACCATCACAAAAAACTATTGCTGAGCAACTCACTGTTCCGCTCTGCTATAATAATTAAAATCTTTGATGAGTCAGAAATGAAATTGTCAGAAAACATCTCACAATTCAAAACATAAAGCTCTGCGGCCTTGACAAGGACCAGGAGAACAGGAAAGAAATGCAGCTCAAAAATAAAAAACACATTTGTACTTACGGGTCATCTGTATCGCTCTCTGTCTCGCTGTCAGCCCCGCCCCTATCTGTAGGAGGATTGTCATTGGTCGGGGGAGGGCATGATGGCGAGCCCCTTTCTAGGTCTGGAGGGCCAGTGCGACCGTCACTCACCAGGGCCACGCCGCAGCGAGGCTCTGAAAAATAAAAAATTTGCCACTTAGTGAAAAGCTTTATGAAATGAAGTAACAGCACCACGTGTGTAAACGCAGGGCTGCCCTGCATGAGTAGGTCTGGCCAACTCACTGTGGGAGGTGTGACGAGCTCTGATTACATCTACTATATGTTATAACATGTTGCAGTAGTGAGACAAAAGCACTTCACATATACAGGAAATGTTCCCTCAGCGGTTTAGTCACTACATCTGCACATTACAGAAGTATTTTGCCATTAAATATAGTAATTACAGGACTGAGTTGACACTGTTTTGTTTTTTTATACTGCAGGTGCTGTTTAGTGAGTTTGCTTCCTTTCACTGGGTTTATCCTCATCCTTATAACTTACAGGGTTTTTTTTAGCATTTATTCCGATGGGAAAATACTTAAAGGACTATATACACACTGTGGTGTTTGATACAGCAATGAATGGGATCCTATCTGGCATCTATTTTGATAATCAATTAATCCGTTCAGTCATTTTACAAGCAAAGATGCCAACAATTCACTGTTTCTTTTGACTGTTGGCTGGACAACACAAGCAATTTGAAAATATGATCTTAAACAATTAACCCTACAACAGTCTACACCTTGCAAAAATAAAGGAAAAATTACTTAAAGACCTAAAATAAGGCGTTGTGAAGCTCTACAGGAAAGAAACTGCAGTCCTCAGATTAGCTTTTAGATTACTGACTGTTCCCACCAGTCAAAATTAGTCCATGAATAAAATTTAGCACTTGAGTCAATAAACAGTGTTATCAACAATGTTACTGGAACTATATTGGTGTAAACACCAACTGTGCTGAATTGCAATTCAGTCGCAACTGTTTTGGGAAACACTGTCTTGGCTGCTGGTTTGTCCAACCAACATTTGTACTTGAGTGTTTTGGCAGAGAAACACAGCTCTATGATTATTTTATCTATTCCCATTCACTTGAAAGGGAAAGTGGTCTCAGACTTTTGGACCCCACTATGTGTGTGTGTGTATACGTATACGTTTACATTCATTTATATAAGCTGTAAAATCAGACTTCTGTGTCTGTATTCTCTGTAAAAAGTCATGATGTCATGTCCAGAGAAAAGGAATGGGGTCATTTGCTACCTTTGCTCTGATTGACAAGCTGTTGGCCATCAGCAGGCTGGGCAGCCACTCCTGATTGGCTGGGCTCCAGGAAAGGGACGAGCGAATGCCAAGGGAACACTGGCACCGACCGAGGCTCCACGTTGGTCCAAACTGTGGGAACAAGCAGGGAGAGAGAAGAGAGGAGGGGAGGGGGAGAGAAAAAGTGAAATGTCATCATGTTTATCCATTTCAGCATCATGGATTGTAGACAGAAGGTAGCGCTCTGCCCTCTGGCACCATGTGAAATCCTATGTGATCGTCAGCCAGCGATGAGCTCAAGAGCTACTAAAAACTACACTTTCATAGAAACTGCCAGAGACCCAAGACCATGAATGGAGTTGTGTATTCAGTCGCCTACTCTGCCCCCCCTTTCCACCACCACCACACACACACAGAGACCATCCCCCAGGATAATGAGAGTTGAGGGGTCATGTGGTGTGTGATGTGATGAAGGAACCTGTTATTTTATCCACATAGATTCCAGACTCCAGACTTACTCGCCGTCTAGACTGCTGCCACACTGCTGCCTAGCTTCACACTCTGAACCCAACTGTCTCTGCAGTGAGAACATTTTAAGCCAAGAAAGAAAGACTACACAGTACATTTTCAATCTGTGCACAAATCTCTATCACTGCATCTTAGGTATGAGTGTTATGGTTAAAAGAAATGATTTTTCCTGATACAGACGTATATCACAATATCATATATAAAACAGTTTAAGTGATTTTATCAGACAAAACTGTTGGTCAGCTGACCCACCACTGAAATATACACACAACACTGACACAACACCGAAACAGCTATCAGGTGGAATACCATGAAACTTTGTACAGACATTCATATCGCAGAGCATGAATCCCAGTGACTTTGGTGATCACTGGTTCATGGTCACCTCAGGATTACTGTAAAATAACTGGTGATCCCTTAACTTTTCATTTAGCATCATTATCAATCAATCTATCAACCAATCAATCAATCAATCAATCAATCAATCAATCAAACTTTAATTATATAGCACTTTTTTTATACAGGTTAGTGCAGTTCAAAGAGCTTCACAGACTGATGAGCTAAAAAGAAAAGGACAAATCAAGTGAGAAAGCTGACGATGAGATACAATAATCGATTTAAAAAGCTATAATAACATTAAAAAAATAACCCTAACATAAAATAGAATAGGATGCAGTAATAAAATAATAGGTAAAACAGAATAAAATACAAATAAATACAATTTAGATCATAATTACAATAAAATAGGTTAATAAAATAAAGTGACTAATGACTCAAAATGTATAAATATTTGATCCTCTTGTTAATATCGTTGGGGGTTCAGGAAGTAACCAGCTAACCTTGTGAGCGCTTTTTTACAAGCAGAAATCAAAATACCAAACATATATTTATCCAATCATCTTGCCTTAAAATCATTAAAAAAATAGCCTAAAAATAGCTTGGAAAATTGCAGATCAGTGTCAAATATGCTTTTTTTGTACTTTGTGATTCTGTTAAGCTCTAATTAAAAATTCCACAGAATCATTAAAATATAATGATTCTATATTACATACATTTTACATTACATAAAATGTTCATATCATCACAATACAATTACACTGAAAGCTCTATTACTGCTAATACTAATATGACAACCACAAATACTCATACTATTACAACTTCAACAAACACCAAAAGTGGTACAACAACTTTAACCAGAGCTGTTACTACTGATTCAATTGCTCCTGAATTTTTTTAAATTTTTTTTCTACTTTGGGAATCAGTGAAGGACTTCATGGTTTTGTGTTACTTCAGCAGTGATCATTCGTTTCTGAGAGTGGTCTAAACTAAAAACAGTTTCACCCTCCTCTCAGGCCTGGTGGAAATAAATTGGCTGTGAACTCTATGCTGCAGCACTGCAATGTCCAGTTTCCGTTTCCATGAATAATTTTATAATAAAGTATTAAAATGGTCTATATATAGCGAACCATTCACTGACTGTGGCTAATTTGAAACAGAGATCCAGATCCTGCAATCCTGAGTTAGACAACGAGGAAAATGTAAAAACATCCAGGACGCTCTGTTGATGCTGTTGGTTGGTTACACCTACAACAAGTTCTCTTTTAAATGCTGATTCTGGTGTCACATGACTATGATCACTGCACTGCAACCTTTGCACTCCTCACTACTCACTGGCAGTTTATGCTGCTGTTTGCATGAGGAACTTCAGCAGAGGAAGTGAGGATTTTTCAGGTTTTACACACACACACACACTACAGTACAGTACAGGTCCCTGTCTTTAAGTGGGAAAGACCAGAAATAGTACTGACATTTATTACTGTAAAACATATGTGTATATCTTCTTGCTTTCTTTCTTATTTTCTGGTAGGTCAAGGGTCAAATTCAGCTACACAGCAGCACCTCTTAAGGTTGTAGGGATTCAAAGGTTTGCTCAAAAACACATCAGCAGTAAAGCTCAATAGATCCTGGATTTTTAAAGCTGTTTTTTTTTTTTTTTTTTTTTTAAGTTAACAATATATAAGATGAAAGTAATTCCCTTTTTTAAATATAAATACAGAACACAAACAAATAACAATATGGATCCCTGAGATTTTTTTTTTTTTTTTTAAGAATTGTGACTGAGATACAAACTGAGAATTGGAAAAATCGACTTGTCAGTGCTCTCTGGTGAACAAATGATGCAGTAAGCATTTCTTATTTATTTTGATGCAATTTCTTGTTCCTTATTGGCCAAATGTTGTTGATGTTGCAAAAGAAATGGCAATGATATGACTTAAAGTCACTCTGGTTAATCTTTAAATTGAGAAAACATGGTGGAATAATTAATAATAAAGCTTAACCGTATAAATATATATGTTTTCTCTTTTCTGCTCTTTCTATTCAACAGTTTTTCATCTAATGACTAATGATTAATGTCTAATGGAATGGAGCCATGTAACTTAACTGTCCATTTAAATTGCTGAACCTTCCAAAATAAAAGGAGAAAAAGGAAAACTGGTTTGTCATTGAGTGGAATGCAGTTAACTTGACACCAAAACTGTTATATCTGCAAAAACAGTTAATATCAACCAGTTTATAGGTGTAGGTTTAATCAGCAGTGTGAATACCAGCCAACTTCAGGGACTGAGCCCAGGTTGTTTAAAGTAATATCTCCATTCTCATTAAACCTGAATGTTATCAGGAGGGTACATCAAACTCTGATGTAAACGTTTTAATTAGTCTGTGTGGCCACATGTAATCAGAAGCAGGTTATCAGGAGATTTAAGACAAATTTAACACTTTTTTCAGACCTTTCAGTCAATCTTGATTTGTATTTAAGACCAAATTAGTAATCTAAATAATGAAACTGGCAGCTGACAGAAACAGACTGTTTCCATCTGAATGTATCTTATGACAGTTCTGGTACTAATCTGAATGAACAGTGCAACAGGAAATGTTTATATTGTCAATACTGTATTAACCCTGTCGTGCAGCATCAGAATGTGACCCACTGAAAGCGCGAAATCAACACTCTGCACTTCTTCCACCCACTGATGTGGTCAAATTTGATCAGCTTAACTTTCCAACTCAGTCTCAACTAAATGTCACTGTGTAAGGGTTAAAACTAAGAAATTCAATTAAACCTGTAGTAGGTGATATTTTAGCAGTACCTCCAAAAGGATAAAGCTGCTGATCTTGTCTATTTTTCTTGGTGTCAACAAATCCCATGAACTTACTCCACTTAATCCTACTAACAAGTATGTGTGTGTATGTTTTGTGTAACCGAAACTGATGCATCTTTTTCCACACAAAAACACTGTTGCACTGAGTGACATTTTTCTTATCTGCGATGAACAAGTTAATCCAACCTTATCACTCCTGTAGTTACCCACAAAAGTACCAAATGTGTATTAATGCACTGCTGAAAATAGTCAACATATGCACTTTTTACTCCTGTTTGAGTAATGTTTGCTAAACACTACCGTGCCCAGCTGGGCCTGGATATTACTGAGCCCGAGATTTTAAGAATGAAACTTTTCACTGGTGACAAAGTTTTGAAAAATGTACTTATGGGCCTGTGCACCAAAGACTGGGGGAAGTTGAAAAGAGAGATGCACTAACACACTGTTGGTTTTGGGCTTTTTATGGGATTTGCTGACTGTGAGAAAAATACAGAATAGCACCACCTCACCCTTTAACGTGTTAAATAATAGGACTTTGAGATTCTTCAGACTTTTAAAAGGACCTGCTGACACTCAAAAGAGGTGAGGCATGAATATCCCAGCAACAGTGGTGAGTTGTGAAAAAATATCAAAAACAGAAACACTGCTCGGATATCCATCTGTCTCTATTGGTTTCCTTGAAGTGCTGACAGCGATGACATGACTAGCAAGTGCCAGCAGTGAAAAAGAAATACGTCTGATGGAGTGAACAGCTGTCTTCGTGCTTTAAGGTGGGAAAATTATGCACCTGTCCTCTGACTACACATCACTACCACTGAGGAATTTTCCAAATAATTCCTCCTGTGGGTGTAAAAGCAATAATATAGTTCCTCAGCTGTGTAACAGTATGGAACCTCAGCACTTCTTCTTCACTGAAGGCTGCAGATGTACTCGAAGAGAGCAGTAATGAAACTTGTGATGCTAATGCAGCTGCACTTGAGCTGGGCTATATTTAGGAGAGATCTCAGCCGTGGGGCCTCCACTGCCTTCTGCCTGTGTTTGTTTCTGGGCCCGCTGTGGCTCTAGGTGTTTTTAAAAATGTATGGCGGAGGAAACGTTACGCTACAGAGGCAGGTGGCTGTTAGCGGCAGTGCGAGGGATGTGAGAGGGAGAGGGAGAAATAAAAAAAGTGCACTTCGGTAATCAGCTCAGGCCTCAACGCTTTACTGCACTAATTCTACCGGTGGAAACAGTGTATCCATGACAACATGCCGGCAATACGATTACTCCTTTTTCTGTTGAGAGTGATGAAACACATTCACATCACGCTGGACTTGCCCTTGATGCCCTGTCTGAGGTTGTTGATTGTCTGGAACACTGAGATGAGTGTGTGTGAGTGTGTGTGAGTGAGTGTGAGTGTGAGTGTGTGTGTGTGTGTGTGTGTGTGTGTGTGTGTGTGTGTGTGTGTGTGTGTGTGTGTGTGTGTGTGTGTGTGTGTGTGTGTGTGTGTGTGTATGTGTGTGTGTGTGTGTGTGTGTGTGTGTGTGTGTGTGTGTGTGTGTGTGGTGGAGGAGGGGGTGTGAATCTCCTCGTTGCTCTCTGCACTCTCTGCTCTCAGTCTTACATGCCTAGACATGTTAATATTCTCAGTCTCCTTTCAAAGTTTCAGTAAAACACCCCCTTATCTCTGTCTCACACGCACACACATACGTACATATAAAGAGGGTGACACCCCATGCATACGCACATGCACTCAGCAACTACACACAATGAGTCACACATTACACACAATGAGCAGCAGATCTGGGTGGCTGCCTGAGCGACTCATATATTAAAGCTTTTCAGATCTTCCTCACAAAAAATGGTTTCACTCTGAAGTCATCTTCATCATTTGAACTAAGTCCAGAAATTATCATTTAATCAGACGAGTTATGAAATATTAAATATCAAAATTACGAAAGAAAAGATCCTCATGGTGTAAATTTCTCACTTGTATTCAATGATAAAAACAAATCTTCTGCAGCTGCAACTATGCCAGTTTCCTGATGGCATATTAACTGAAAGATGCACTGTATAGTAATTATCAAATATACTTTTTACATGACTACGTGTCAATATGAACTGTATATTGCTAATATTTCTCTGCACTAAGACAAATCCCTGTAAATTTATTACACTTTCAGTTTTCAGATTTAGAAAGTGATGCATCATAATGATACAAAATGAGACGTCAAGCCTTTTAAATGGAAACCATCTTCATATTCATATATTCAAAGTAACATTTCTCGAGTTTTGCCATACTGTAATATCGCAAGGTTGGCATGGAAACAAGCATACAGTATATGATGAATTTAAACACCTCTATTTCTCAGCGGCCAATTTTCTTACATCCAACAGTGTGCACACAAAGCTGACAAAATATTTTCACAACAGATTTTTTTTGCCTGAATAGATGCTTTAAAAGCAGATACACAGTGCTGATGATGGAAACATCACAGCTTTTCATCCTCTCTCAAACAACAGCGTGCTGCTTCTGTCTTTTATTTCAGAGTTAGCTGATGGTATGATTCAAGACGGCAATGATAACCAGGAAGCGATAAATATATTAAACAGTACAAAATCGACATGAAATGGACCAAAGCTTGGCTCACAATGCTCCTGAATGTTCATAAAGTGCCAAAAAAGTAATCCACTGTTTACTTTGTTTACCTGTAGCTTTTAATTGTCTTTTTCCAGTCAGTATAACATGCATGAATGCAATTACTTTCCCCCTGTGTCCACTGTGGCTGATTTTATGGGAACCTTGGTAATTGTTTACTGTGGGCTACTGGCAATAAATGCAGTATGCAGCCCAAAGCAGCAGGACATTGTACTTTATCTATCATGGCATATTATAATTTAAAAATAAAAATAAATCTGAATAAATATTCATTTATAACTCAATAAAAAGGGGTAAAAATGCCCTAAAATTGCAGATCAAGGGAGAAAAATGTCCTTTGGTTACTTTTCTCATACTGCAAGCAAACAATAGTACAATGTACATGAGTCATAACCATAGTACTCTGATGACACTCCTGGAACCTGAGAGAAATAATGAAAGCAAGACACACTAGACCTGATACAGAGATACAGCCTGTACATCCCTTCCTGTTTTACAGTATGGCAGATGTATGGCTCAGCAGACTTTGTATCTGACAGGAACAATGGACAAGGCCACGAAGCCTTGATGATCTCCCAACCCATCTCCCCCCGTCCTTCCTTACCAGTCCCTGGGCGTCCCATGATGATTTGCTTGCGTGGGGCAGGGTGAGGTGACTCAGCTGGCAGTATGAGTGGCAGCAGGGCGGTCGGCGTCGGGTGACAGGCTACCGGCTGTGGCAGTGCGCCTCCAGAGGCGTCCTGGTGTCCCTCAGGTTTCCTCTCCCTCTCCCTGCCTCCAGAGCCAGAGGAGGACAGGACTGAGGTGGACATCGACCCGGGGGTGGAGGGGCTGGACAGGGATGTGTGGCTCATCGTGGTTGGGGTCAAGGACTAGGAGGAGATGTCAAAAATGTATGTTTTATATTTGCAGAGAAACTTACTTATAGCAATAATAAGTAGATGTATATTCTCTATAACTAAAATGTTCTGTTAATCACACACAACATAGTTAGTCATTCTACTTCAATGTCACCCTATTAACTTCAATGCAGTAGTGGTTTCAGGGCTCTCACTCCAGGTCTCCACTGGACTCCACTGCTAGTATTTGGTACTCAAAATCAAAATCGAGGTTTTCTCTGAGGTATTTTTGAACTCACTTTCATGGTGGAGTCAGTTTCTAAGTCAGTGACAAAAATATAGAATTTACACATTGACCAAAAACATTCTGAATCAATAAGATGAACCTTTGATCAACAGCAAATGGACACCCTTCTCATGAAAATGCATCATTCATAGACGAATGTCTTGATCTTGATCAGTAACAGAGTTGGTGAGTTAAAATGTGCCAAACAACTTCTATGTCACAATAATAAACAGGAAATCTATTTTCTTAATTTCTCAAATGCAGAGAGCAGAACTGATAACGTCTGCGCTTATCGATAGTAGCTCCGGGGGCCTGTTTAATACTAGGTTTCGGGACCCATCCCTATACATGCCTCATATTCATGACATGAATATGTAATATCTTCTAATGCATGTTTTAAATTTTTTAGGGCCTAAGGTTCATGGAGGCCACTGGCTTGGAACAAAATGTGCTAAGGTTGGGGGATATGACGATATATACCATGAGCTAATAGATACTATATTCTGTACTGTACCATTTATCATAAAAAATAAGAAATTGTTGCTTTCTTACCGAGCTGGAGGTGACCAGGACAAGTGTGGATGTGGGGTTGCGCAGAAGAACTGCACCATTGGTGGTGGCCCCATTGATAGGGACGGGGGCCTGAAGGCCGGGGGGAGCAGTGTGTTGGGGCTGGCTGTGCTCCCTGGACCTGCTTCTCTCTCTCCTTCCTAATGGGCCATCAGAGAACTTGGCCAAGGGAACATCCGGGTTGCGTACGATGACCGGGGAATCACGGAGGGGCACGATGCGCCGTGGTGAGGGTTCCTGGGGTAGAGGGGAGGGAGGGGTGGGAGAGACCAGCATTGGTGGAGGCGTGGAAGCGGCTGATGATGGTGGCCTGCTGGTGGCGCTACGGGGCCGGGGAAAAGAGAGTGAGGAGGGAGTTGTCGGCTGACTCTGGGGGGAGAGGACTCTGAAGGCGGCAGGGCTGTGGCCCAGGGATGGCTCTCCCACCACCCCCCCACCTACACCCACAAGCTGTTGCTGCTCAGGTTTGGTCTGGTAGTCCTGAACTGTCGGCAGTGGAGGGGGTGGGTGGGTGTCGAGCTTCCTCTTGCTGGGGCTCATGGGAACAGTAAAAGTGAGGTTGGTCTGAAAAGTGGGCACAATCCCCGACAGGTGGCGTTCTCGCTCAGCACCTGGTGTGCCCATCTTAGTGCCGCTGAGCTGGCGATGGCGGCGTGGTGTAAGTGAGGCAGGAGCAGTGATGGGGCTGAAGTTGGCAGGGCGAAAGCCAAAGAGTGGAGAGGGTGAGGGCGACGGGGTGGGGGAGAAGGGCGACTGGTTGGAGATGGGGGAGAATGATGGCGTGCCTGAGCGGGAGCCCCCCAGGGAGACCAACATTGTTGCTGCCTCACACTCATCAAAGTCGAAACGAGAGAGGTCCTGGGGGAGCAGAGAGGGAAGGACAAGGCGGGGACGGGAGTCTCCTCCGCGGCTGCTGGCCTCGCTGCTTTCCCGTGACGTCTCATCCCAGTCGAACTCTGAGCTGGCTCTCCCACCTCCCAGTCGGAGGTCAGACGGCGTTAGGGTCCCTGTGCTGCTGGCTCCGCCCCGCTCCCGGCCGCCTCCACTGGCCTCCATCTCCTTGGTCCTCATTGAGAGGTGTCTGGAGCAGTATCCCCGGCGCTGGGACTCTTTGGAGCAGCCCTCCCGAGAGCACAGTCTCCTCCACTGCTTCCCGTTGAACTTCTTCCGGATGCCTGTTGGCGTACACACCACATCTCCCTTCTTGTACTTCTGCTGGGCAGCTGTCAGCGGGGTGCGGGAACGTGAGGAAGAGGAGGAGGTCGAACCTGATCCGGATCCACCGCCACCTGCTCCTCCGCTGGAAGAACCTCCTCCTGAGGCCTTCTCTACTCTGGAGGAGGACGCAGTGGACGAGGAGATGGGAGGGAGAGGAGGGAGCTGGGGGGTGGTGAGGACAGCACCAGCTGCTGCAGCTGCTGCGGTTGCTGGGTCAAGGCCTAACAGGACAGGTGAAGGAGGGGGATGGGGGTTCAAAGCCAAGTGGGCGGAGGGGATCCCGATGCCCCGCACCACAGACAGGTGGGGACTGAGGTAGCCAGGCGGGGGCTTAGAGACGATGTGGCGGTGTTGGGGAACTGCCATTGGTTTGGCCCCAGGTATGATCGCCCCCATTGGGACCATGTTAAAGTGGGACACCTCCATGTCTTCTTCAGGGGTAAGTGGCATGTACGGGTGGTGTTGCTGCTGCTGCTGATGTTTTACACTGTTCTCCCTTTCTCGCTCTCGTTCCCTCTCTCTTTCCTGTTTCCTCTGGAGGTCTCTCTCCCTCTCCAAGTCTTTCTCAATTTCCCACTCTCGGCCTGGAGCCAGGCTGAGGACTGACGCTGGAGTTACTGGGGAGGTAATACTGTGGCCCAATGTGGACGAAACAGGGACCATGCCTGGGTAGGGCATCCCTCTCCCCACTGACCCCACTCCTGGAGCCATCCCCCGGCTCAGACGACACACCTCCTGCTCAACGTCCATCTCCTCCCTGTCCTCCCGCTCCCTCTCCTTTTCTCTGACCCCGTCTTCTCCTTCTCGTCCTCCTCCAGTCGGCAAATCCAGATCCCAAGGTGGCACCAGAAGCCGGAGTGTTTGTCGGGAGACCCACACCGCCTGAGTAGCACCAGCTGACCCTCTGCCGTCTTCTTCCTCGTCCACAGAGTGAGCCCTCTCCTCAGACAGCAGGACACGGTAGCGGTTGGCCACTGCAGGGTGAGTGTCTACCTGAGTCACCACACCCTCTCGGTACCACTGCCACTGGCCCTCGCTGCACTCCTCATTGCCAAACGGTACACAGACACGGGTGCCAATAGGTATTGGATGGACACCAGGCGGCGGGGCATCTAGAATAATGTCCACCACCCCTGGGGGGCTGTCATGTCGATACGGATAACGACACAGCGTCTTCTCCCCGTTCAGTTGCACCTCCAGGCTTCCATATTCGCCGCTGACCTTACGGACCACCCCAGCCCGGAACACCAGGTCTGAACTCCCTCCTTCATCCCTCCTTTCGCCTCCTCCTTCCTCGTCACTTCTCCTCCTGAGCTGGCGGGCGAGGACACGCTGATTCTTCAGCCCTTTGGCGAGGGCGTCTGACAGTGCGTCGGGGAGACTGGATGGTGCGTGTGCAGACATCTGCGTGAGGGCACGCGTGTCGCCAACTACCTCCAGGTCAGCTGAGTGCTCGCTGGCGGTGTCGGTTGAGGAGCAGCGGGGGAGGGGGCTGGGCGACACTCGCTCTGCGTCTCTCACCCCTTCCCCTCCTCCAGGCCTTTCCCTCTCCACTCCCAGCGACAGGGTGGGGGGTCCTGGGGAGCTGTCCTGAGTCCCCTCCCTGCCAGTAGTCCTGACCTGGAAGTCGTCCATCAGGCTCCGACTCTGACCACCGCCATCAGGGTGTGAGATGCTGATGTCACTTCCTGAACCTGTTGACCCGTGGTTGAGGACCCCACTGCTCAGAGGAAGAGGAGGGGGCGTGCTGGAGGCAGGGTTGCTATGGTTACCAGCAGTGTTAGACAAGCAGTGTTCAGAGGTGTACTTCTTCTTGGGGACACGGGCCTTGAAGGTGGCGGTTTTTCGGCTGGAGGCGGGGTTCGGGCTGTTGTTGGCGCTCGGTGTACTGCTGTTACTACAGCTGCTGCCTCCGCTGTCACTGTGGCTCCCGCTGCTCACAGCTGACCTCCCTGATCTGTCATCCGAGGATGTCAACAACTTCTCAGAATCCATCACAAGCGACACCGTCGTCTCTGATAGCCCCTCCCTGTCTGAAGTGTCCCGCGCTCTGATTGGGTCGGCCTGGGAGGACTCTGAGTGTGAATTAGAGGAAAAAGAAGAGGAGGAAGTTTGGTTTTGTGGTGATCTGCTTCTGTCTCTGTTCTCATCTGAGTCTCTCTTCTCTCCTCCCTCTGGGGCGTCCCCCACTCCACGACGCTTTCCCCCTTTGGCCCGAGTGGAAGGAGGAGAGCGCCGGCCCTGCTTTTTAATCGGCTTCATCTTTTCATCTAGCTTGCCTTTTCTCCAAACAAGTCTTTTTATTTATTTATCCCAGAGATTCTCCTTGGCGTTCCCCTCTTGCTCTGCCTAGTTTTTTCTTCTTTCCCCTCCTTTTCCTCTTGCACTATTTTCCTCCTGTCTCTCTCATCCTGTCTTGTCTTCGTTGCGCGACTTCGGCACTTGCCCACCTTATTCCAGAGACTCTGAAAGAAAAGGAACAGGGAGTGTGGGTTACTCATGTGGCAAACATATTCAGACATGCACAAAGCCTATTCACCACACAGGATAGCTACTAGCTGCATGACTTTGAAAGGAAAAGTGACTGACTGAATCAAAATCAAACATCTGTGAAAAGATTCAAGTGGCATCAAAGTAATTCAAAATAAAAGCACAGCAAAGTGGGACCTTGTGATTACAGGCGTCATACAAAACAACCGTAATAAACAGTTAAACGTTAATTTTAAGAAATGTATTCCCTGCTAAATGATGCACCATCGTACTAGAGTAGTAATGAACATGACTCATCTACAAATTCATTACACATTAATTCATTACATAACAGGTTCTACTCACATTACACAAGGCCTGCAGACATACCAGGTACATAATGAAAACAGGAGGCCATATTGTACGGTAAACACAATGTAAGCTTACAACACTGTATGGAAATAGTGAAGAGCACTTTGCAATTTGCCCAGACAAGCCTTTCTGCATGCACTCCTCTCACACACACACACTACTTCTTGGCCGGGGCAGTAGAGGCGGGGGAATTCCTTCTTCACTCGCATACTGAAACCCTCCCTTTTTCTCTCTCTCTCTCTCTTGCTCCCTCTCTCTCTTGGTGGCGACCTTTATCTATGTATTTCAAAGCAGAGTCAATCCGCCCCTACAAACTCCATTTCCTGTGGAAGACCATTACCTAACTTCCCGTTACTTTATTCCTCCCTCTCTCTCTTTGCTAGTATCACACGTTCATTCTTATCCCCTGCCTGCGTTCTCTCTCTCTCTCAAATATCGATTTTTACCTCTCATCTTTCTTTTTCTCTCCTCTCCTTCCACTTAGTCTCTATCCTCATTTTGTGCTGCAGTCATCCAGAAAAGCAAGAGTTGTTCCCAATAATTGTTATTCCACACCAGAGTCATTCAGTATCACTCTTCCTAGCCACGCCAGAGTCATTCAGAATATCTCCTATTCCACACCGGACTCATTCACACTTCTGCCTCAGTTTAGAAAAGTAAAACAGATTGATTTTGCTGACTTGTTGAACGGGGGGTGGGGGACTGTTGTCATTTAACTGGTTTGTTTGTTGTGCGGCTGATTCGCGTGGGACTCGCCTCAGGTCCTAACTGCTGTGTGCTCTGCCTCATTTCTTCCAATACAAGAGTCTCCACAGAGCTACAATGTTAATAACAAGTGTATAAGAGGGAGAATCAGCACCACCACCAATATGCCCCATCTTCTTTTTTGAAATTTCTCACTGCAGCTGTGATATCCACTGCCAAAGTGTTCCTGGACTGATGACTATCAACCACCACTAGGCTCGTCTACTTGTCAGAGACTGTTTCACTGACTGTTAACGCACATGTCTGTCCCTGTTTCTACATTCGTCCTCCCACCAGTCTTTTTCTCTCTGTCTGCCTGTCTCTTCTCCCTTTTGCTGCCTCCCCGCTCGTCTGTGAAAGCTTACATTCATTCAAGTCCTTTTAATATCTGCCACATCATATCGGCTGGAGAGAAATCCATTTTCAGAGATGAGTGCCGCCTGTCTCAAGGCCACACACACACAGCAAACATCTATGTGATGATAGTTGATAGTGCACACAGAGAGCTGGAGAGCTCACAGCCATCACTGTGTCCTATGTAAATCCCTATTTAGGACAGACGGCCGTAGAGCAGCCACCATAAAATAATTTGGCAGCCTGCCTTACTTGGTCACGATAGTGGTATGCTACGTGTGTTTACTCAGTAGTGCACTGTGTACAACAGCTGGTGTCAGAGTCATGGGCCTAATGATAACAGCTTAAAGACAAACTGATGCAACTCGCACACCCCTCTGTGAAATATGGAGCAAGGAAGCCCATATGGGAGCTATAGTGGGCCTGAGCCTCCTATGTTTCATGCTCAGTGATCAAAGCCGGGCGCTTTCTGCTTATTGGGTGTACAAACAGAGCAAGGTAATAAGTTCAGTCATATTTCAGCTGCAGAACAGTGTTTACCCTCTTCTATACACTGACATGAATACATAGTAAACATGACCGTAGGCAGCATCAAGCTGATTTAAGTCATGTGAGGTGAGCAAAAACATGAACTGCTGCATAATTTTGTTAAACTGAGCGATTGTCCAAGTTTAGGTCACACTTTAATCCCTTTATCAACCACAACTGGGCTAAAACAAACTAATTATAACTTCAGTGACATGCAACTGATTATTATACCAAGTATAAAGTGAGTTAACTTGATAATGTTTTACCTATGAACATACAGGCCTTATGCATACAAAACTGTATAGGAGCTATACAAATGTTTGTCAACCGTACCATAAATTCACTACAATAATCCCACAGTGGTTAACTTTTACAGTTCATTATGTCCTTACCTGCTAAATAATTTTTAGCTGTAGGCCTTTATTTCTGACCCACAGCAAACTGCTTTATATATAAAAGTTTTGCAGGGTTACTACGGTGCTTTATTATCTACAGGCCTGGGTGTATAAATATACTGACATAATCATAATCCAGAGTAGATAACAGCTGTTAACTTCATCTTGACCAGGTCTGAAGCACAAAATGCAAACTACAAGAGCTGATGTCGTCACCTCTGGTTTAGCTGGATAGTACCGTGTATGTGTCAAGCCCTCGTAGTACCGCGATTACTACCAGTTTTACTCCACAACACAGCAGCAGGCCGTGGCGTGCAGCGACCAGGCCTCAACTACTACACACAAGGCCGCTTGGAGATCTCCCTCTCGCTGTCACCGGGAAAATAACCGGTTTAACGGGCATATTGATCCTTAATACCATGTAATACGACCCATATTCCCCGTTGCTGCATGACAGGGTACAATGTCCCGCACAGATGAACACGTTAACTTTGTCAACCACACACACAGACACACACAGCAGACAAAAAGTCAGTCGTTTTGGCCCATCCGAAAGTGACAGTCGTCCTAACGCACAGATAAAGCTGTCCGGACAACTTTGTATTGACCACCCGTCGTCATTTGCATTAGTGCAACCGACGATACAAGAGGGAGAAAAGTGTCAGTATGTTGCCACAAACTAGGCCCTAAAGACACATTAATTCAAAGAGCCACGTTGATTCATGAAAAAGAGGAAGAAAATGTCAATGTGAGAGACACAGAGAGAGAGAGAGGAGGAGGAGGAATGACAAGCGAGGAGTTTCCGAGGTTTTTGTACAACGCAGGAAAAATAACAGTTGTTCTCGGAAGTCCAGCGGCAGTTATGGCGTTGAATTTATTTCTAGTGGAAAAGTTTCAAGCTCACTATGTCTAGCCGCACCGCTCCCTTTTTTTTCGCAGAAGACACCCAATCCGCCCTCTGCTCCTCTCCGTAGGCCGCCCAGATATATCGGAAAATATGCTGATCAGCTCAACTGCTTACACTGTTTATAGCCACGGTGAACGTGAACAACGTTAGCAGCTCGGGAAAAAGCACAACAAGCCTCCACTGCAGTGCTGCAGGAGAAAGATTTGTGGGCAGCTTATACTCACCACAGCTAATATATAGTACCCCGGTGTGTTTCTCTGTTGAGTCCGCCGGGTAAAATAGGGCAGGGTGGCCAGTCGTCCGCAGCTGCCAATTAGCGGCCGTTCATGTTTCTCCGGCAAAGCAACTTAAAAGGAGGAAAAACTACTGCCCTGTATATTCTACACTACAGTCGCAAAATGGTGAATGAAGCCCCAAAGCCTTGACAACCAGCCCGGGCGGCCAATCGCGGAACACGAACGGGTACAGTAGCCAATGGGATGCGGAAGAAGGAGAGCAGGGGCGGAGCCACGCGTCAAAGTAAATTTGATCGACGGCGCACCGCGGCCAATCACAGTGTGGGAAAACACAGAACAGCTGTTGGGAGAGCGAGGCTGCGGCGGCCAATCGGGCTCCGCTGTGGGTATGTCCGTGACTTATACAGGCACGCAGGACAGCAATGAAACCTCTCTTTCTCTTTCTATCTTCTTCTTTTGCTTCTTGTCATCCGTCGTTCATTTGTCTACAGACATGAAAACGGGAGAGAGAGAGGAGGGGAGGACTGTGTTTTCAGAACACGTTAGACTTCCTTTGCTGGACTAAAAAGCTCTGACATGACATTATCAAATTTAATAGAGATCAAGATGTCACATCCCGAGCTGTCTCATGTTTTACACCAGCAACTCACACTTATAAATCAGCTTTAATCGCACTAGTTAACTTTCTATGTGATATTCATGCATTTATACTGTATGTATTCTACACTCTGATCCATACAAGCCACAGGTTGAGTGTAGTTTCAACAGGAGCCACAAAGAACACCAACTCCCAAATACGTATGCTTTTTCTCTCTCTCTCTCCATCCCAGCTAATCAGAGGTGCTCTAACCAGCAGAGCATCCCTTAGTCCCGCCTCCCCGGCCAATCAGGACAGCTGCTGGAGACTATACGTCACCAGAGCAGCGCACGATTGGCTGAGAGGCTTGGGGTCTGCAGGCCAATGACCGAGTGCTGTGGTGAGGTCATTATGCTTGTTGCCATCAGCTTGGCCAAACAGGAAGAGTGAAACCCCAGTGAGTAAGTTGAGTCCAAACTGTGGGATTATGGTTCCTAAGAGAGTGACCCATATACACAGTGGGCCTCCCTGCACACACACAGACACAAACACACACACACACACACACACACACACACACACACACACACACACACACACGTGAATGTGTAAGAGCAGGTACAGGCTGTAATAAACTGCAGAGTGCAAGCCAACATGCAAACAGGCTAAAAAAAACACACACACACACACACAGTTTAACATGCGTGAGTGCACAAACACACATACACTGACAGATAGAGGCGTGTACAGCACACACACACACACACACACACACACACACACACACAACACAGTGGCATCCTGCTGCGATTTCATAAGACACGAATGGTGTGCGGATTGCTGTGTAGCAGTGCGACACGCTGTTTCTATAGCTTACA